GGTAGGCGGTGACCACCGATTGATTCATACGCCATTTGTTCCTTCAGGATCCTGGAGTCCATGTACATCAATGGTTTGGAATGAGGGTTTTATAACTGTCTTAGATGGACTCTCCGTGTCCACTAACCCGGTTAAAGCAACGACCATTTGCTTTCCATCCTCTCAATTTTGTAAAGAACAGTAATGGCGCGAGAAGGCAATGAGTAAGAGTTCTCTGATAGTGGTTGTATACGCGTGTTCATGTGAGAGTATTTGGAGTGGGAGAGTTGACTCTCTCCACCCTTGCTCGTACCAGGGCATTTAGTAGCTTGGTACCATCTTAACTTGGAAACGAACGATCTCAAATATTAAAAACCTGATTTCTTGTCTGATAACAACCGATGAATATTTTACATATATCAGTTGGATAATTTGATGTCATCCTCTTCGTTATTATATAAACTCTTCTATATAAAGTATTTGTTGCCTGAAAATATAAGTAGTTTAATAGTAATTAAATATAATGGAATCAGGGTTTGCCTATATTAAGATGACAAAACTTATTTTTGAGCAGCAAACATGATGATTATTTCAGAAAGATCTTATAATTTTGTCCAGAAACACTTCTTTGCTGATATTTTACATGAATAATTTATACTACTTATTAACTAAGAAGTAGCCTATTCATGTAACAGTTATTTACCGACTTTGTAGGTTGCAGAAAGTACTCCATTTTGGGTCACAACTGTCTTGTCTAACCGTCAAACATAATTCATCCATCATTTCTGATAAATAAATAAATACATATCAAAACTATTCCCTGATCTTATCCTTGCTTTTTTCCGTTGAAGTATTTCATTAACTTGTAGACCGAGTATTCTTCAGAAGTAAAAGTTCTCATATCAAAGTCATTTCGCTAAATTCGAACTAAGTTCCTGTTACAATTTCGGGATTAAACTACTTATGAGATAAAACGTTTTCAGTTTCTTTCCCAGTTACACATCTTGAACAAATTTCTTTGATTAGTTTTGGGGAGGTCATGGAATTAAACAGCAAAACGCTTAACTCATTTTATTGATTTCATTGTAAGATGCCATAGATTTACGAAAAGATGATCAGAAATCTGATCGACTTTAGAATAGTAGATGTCTACGGATGATATTGAATAGAAGATAAATGTCTATCAAATAACTTTTATAATGAAGATTTCCACTGATTCCAAACACCTACAGGTTGCATCTTTTTATTTCTTCAGCAGTTTGGATGACTCCCCCGGTCATCCACGTTGTACGAGCGTTCTATGTACCTAAATTAATGGTTGCTCTAGATGTCAGAAGGGTCATCAACCTTGTGACTTCCAACGGAATTCAGCTTCCATCATAAGGCTTCAAAAATCTTTTAAATGAAGTCCTTCTAACTTCCAAGGCAGACTTTAAATGGTTTGAATTATTTTTTCTGGTTAGCGTTTTTAGCGAGTTTGTTTTCACAGACTGGAATCGCTAACCCATGCCAAACCTTCTGCTAGGTTCGAAGCGGTTACGGGTTCACTTAGACTACGAACGGAACAAAGACTCGGTGACCGAAAACCAATAAGCTAGCTGTTTGATGCATCCTAGCCCCGCTAGCTAGAGAGAGAAGTCCAAGTTCGAACGGGGAAATATAACCTGCTTGGAATGAGGAAGTGTATTTCGTAAACGGCCAGAAGCATGAGCGATAACAGCAAACACAAATCAAAACATATATATACAGCACAAAACCGTCCCTGGGAAACGTTACTAAATAGCATACTAATAGACACAACGGACCAATAGCATTTAAGATTCTACCAAGTGGGAAATACGAAATGAAGGTGAAAATGAGCGCTTTTGGCGCGAAAACAAAGAAATTCAAAGTTTCAAAATAAAATTACAAAATTAGGACCTTTCTAAGTGATTTCTGGGGATCTAACGTCCCCAACATCCTCCCCCTGTATCCGAGCTTGGGACCGACAGTGGCCCCAGAGGGGTCCCAGGTGGAGTTCTTATAAACATTGTTAAGAGCTATATTTGAAGTTTCTATTGCAAACAGCCATTTACACCTTGCATGTAATGTTGAATTAATCAGAAACACAATTAGAAGTGATTTAAGCACATAAACAATAAGATGATTAGTATCAGATTATTGATTGAGATCATGAACCGGTTGATGTTAGACCACCACCTTTGGAAACCTGGAAGCACTGGACGGCCGTTTCGTCCTATTGTGGGACTCCTCGGCAGCGCGCATCCACGATCCCGCTCGTGGGATCACTAGTGACCAGCTTCGTGAGGGAATTCTTGGAGTTCTAGTGAGAAGCCGTGATCAGTGGAGCTAATCCATGTTGAGTAGAGACAAGTATCTACCTCAGTACAATGGAAGTTGGTCGCACAATTTCGTGGATTGGTTGATGTTAGACACTATCACCATTAGATGCCGGCTCAGTGGTTCAATAGGTTAAGCGTTCGCGCGAGAGACCGAAGGCCCTGGGTTCGGTTTCCGCGGGCGGGATCGTGGATGCGCACTGCTGAGAAGTCCCACAACAGGACGAGACGGCCGTCCAGTGCTTCCGGGTTTCCAAAGGTAGTCTAACATCAATCGGTTCATGATCTCAATCAAAAACTTAGTAATCTCCACAACCCCCATACTAGTATCAAATTTCTTAGTACGGTTAATTTGACCGAATATTGTAAAGGCATTTTATTTTAAGTATAATAATGCCTCCCGGAGTCCATCTACAGTTACATCTGGTCCTAAGTAGAAGGACTGAGTTTATGGTTGGCAATCCAACCTCGTAAAGAAGAACCTGGCTAAAACACGCTAACTTGTGCACATTAATTAAGCCATTTAAACTATCGCCTACTATTTGAAGGGTTCCTACATAGGACAGTTATAACGCCTTATGATGAAAGCCTAGATGATTCGTGTCATGAAACCAATCCTCCTTCTGATAAATAGAGAACCAATTAATATAGATACATAGAATGTCACGACAACATAGCTGACCGGGACGGTCACTCTAATTGCAGTAGAAATAAGAAAACATAACCTGGCTCAATGGATTAAACGAAACTCATTAGACACAATCTGGATAGAAAAGAACAACTTCAAGATAGATGTTATTGTATTATCATCACAAAGAATAAAATCCCTTAAATACACAAGGAATTTCACTGATGCTATCCAAAGAAGAACGAGAAGTGCTTATTGTATGGGTTATCAGTTCAAAACAAGAAATGATAGGATTATAATGAACGTCACCTAGTGCTACTCACCAACCATGGGTAGCTGCAAAGATGATAACAAAATCCTGGTTTGACAATGACTCGGAGTAGGAAACGAGTATGATGTGAGACTAGCATAATATCTGTCTACTTTCTTTAACATAGTCATGGATAAGCGAGTTTCACAAGACACCATTGAAAACTAGGGTAACCGCATCTACCTAAATAACAAACCCAAAATATTCATGAGGAACGTAACGAAAAACGAAGAGAGGAGATATAGCTTCATCATCTATTGATGGTCGATAAGGTAAGATTTAGGCTAAAGAAGGATTGGATATTTGGGCAAGTAGCACTACAAAAGTTCAATGTAACCTATCTTCTAGATAATAACAAGCTCAGAGAGCTCAAGATAGTTTTCACCAACAAGTTTCAAGTCATGCAGAACCTACTAGAAGAGGAGGAAATCGCTATGAAGAACAAATGGAAGTAGATTAACGAAGTAAACATTTCTGCGTATCAAGAAGAACTGGGTGCAAAGTAACACCAACATAAAGAATGAGTTTCTGTGAGCATTCTGTCCAAGATTCAAAAAAGAAAAAGAAAACAAGACAGCAGTGAACAACAGCCAAATAAGAGAAGAGACGGTCAATCTACAGACCGAATATACAGAATAAAATTCATGAGTGGGGAGGATCATCGGAGACGACCAGCATAAATATGTAGATTTGGCAACTATAGCAGAACACTCCATAAGAGAAGGGAATGTTAAGGAACTGTATTATACAACCAAGAAGCCAACAGGGAAATGTAATAGATCAGGGTAACCAGTCAGGATCAAAGAAAAGGAATCACTCACTGAGATTCAAGAGTAGAAGAACTGGTGGTTAAAGAGCTTTGAAAAACTCTTGAATAAACTAGAGTATATTAGCCCACAGATGGTACCTTACCGACAATAAAGGAAATTAGCAAAACCAATAGACAAAAATATTGATCCATTTGGATCAGACACCACATTAGCTGAAGCATTGAAGATAAACCTTATCCTCTCCAAACTACGACATAAACTACCATTGTTGAACAAGAAACTAAATGAAACTCCTCATAATACATTAACTTGCTTGATTGTTGGACAGTATTCAACAGAGTGAATAAAAAAACCTTGTGGAATCTTTTTCAATATTACGGTGTACCGAGGAAGATCGCCACTATCATTAAAAAAAATTCCCACAAGTGACTGAATCCCATAGTTATGCATATAGAGCAGTTTATTAATGGATTCCAAATGAACACTGGTGTCAAATAAAGCTGTAAAGGATCATTGTTTTTCTCACATTTTAACTGCTTCTTTAAGATACTTTTGTATTAGATTTTCTTCATATGTCGTTTCGAATCCAGATTTATCTAAGAATCCCTATAAAAAAATGAAAACAAATAGTTTCAATTTTTAAAAAAATCCCCACAACCCCATACTGATAGTTACTATGTGTACACTCGTGACTAATTTCGTGAAGGAATTCTTGGAGTTCTAGTGAGAAGTCATGAACAATGGAGCTAATGCATGTCGGGTAGAAACAGGTATCTACCTCAGTACAATGGAAGATGGTCGCACAATTTCGTGGATTGGTTGAGGTTAGACATTAACACTGTTGAATGCCAGCCAGTTAAGTGGTCCAGTAGGTTAAGCGTTCGCGCACGAAACCGAAGGTCCTGGGTTTGGATCCCGTAAGAGGGATCGTGGATACGCACTGTTGAGGAGTCCCATACTAGGACGACACAGTAGTTCAGTGCTTCCAGGTTTTCCATGGTGGTCTAGGTTCAATTGACTGATCAATTAAACTATTAAATTACTAAAATCTGTACAAAATCCCTCCCTGACTAAAATATTCTCTCCGTTTCTGGGTGTTACGTAATTTTTGCTGTACCATTTATCTACTTAAAGAAATAGTGAACTAGTAGAAGTATTCAGAAAAAGGCTAGTTACACGTGTCTATCAAAAGGAATGAATATTTTGTTGGTCTATAAATATAAGCATATTTAGTTCAATAGTTAAACTAATGAGATATGAACCCAAAACCTATCGGTCCTAAGTACGAATCCCACGAGCGGCGTTGTGAATACGTACTGCTGAGGAATCGCATACTAAGACGAAATGACCGCCCAGTGATTCTAGGTTTTCCGTAGCGGTCTAGCTTTAATTGAGTCATCAAATCAACTATTAAACTACTACAATCTCCACAAAATCCCCTTCTGACAATATTCAATTCGTACGCATAAAAGAAAAAATCTTTTGTTATTGAATAACTTAGTGTTATTTTGTGATGGTTAATAGTTGAGTGAAGTTCCACACAGATTCTTTTGATATATTATTGAATAGAATCTTTTGAACTAATCGAAATAGACCAGAAAAAGATGTGAAAATTAATCAATTGGTCCTGGGTTCGAATCTCATGAGTCAAGATCATGAATGCGCAATGTTGAAGAGTCCCACAGTAGGACCAAAACAGCCATCCAGTACTTCTAGATTTTCAATGATAGTCTAACATCAATCGATTCACGAGTTCAACTGTATTATTATTATTTTAACACATAAATATTGGTACAAGAGGGCACCAAATATATATACGCCACACCATATTTGTGTGTGTGGGCTGTGATACTGCCCGGATGCCCAGACCGAAGCAGGTGGTTATCTTAGGGGACCACACCTCGAGCCTTTGACCTAAGGGTCTAACCCACAAAGCAGTGGTGCATCGTAAGGAGATGCAGTCCCATGGTAGCCGGTGACCAACGATTGGTTCATACGCCATTTGTTCCCTCAGGATACTGGAGCCCATGCGCAACATTGGTTTGGAATCCGGTTAAAGCGCCGGATATTCGCTTGTCGTCCTCTCATTTTTGTAAACAACACCCCCGCCACGAGAAGGCAGTGAGTGGGACTTCCCTGGCAGAGGCTGCATACTCGTGGCCATGTGAGAGTATTTCGAGAAGGAGAGCGAACTCTCCCTACTCTCGGCCATACCAGGGCATTTGGGGGCTTTCAACTACTACTAATAACCATCAAAATAAAACACAACCTCCTTCTTTTAACTTACTGTAGTCTTATTTAATTTAGTTTTTTTCATCCAATTTGATTTATATAATTTAGAACGAAATATTCCAGTTAATTTTGGTTCTAAATCAGCTAACCAATAAACTTGTTGAGAAATTAAATGTTGTACAGCACTTCTTCGAACATTTTCAATATCACCAACAGCTAAACCAATCTTAAGAATAAACAATATGATCCATTGGTTAATATAATAGAATATCATATATATATATAGCATATACATATCATTGAATCTTATTAAGAATATGAGTTTCTATAGTCAATCTTAGCAGATATATCAAGGTTTAATGTGATTTTCAATGATCTGGATCATCGCATTATTGATATTTTGATTGGAATTCAAGTTATGTGAGGGATAGGATATTGCCTAGGATTATCTAGACTTTGTAGATGATTTGGCTCTTCTATCGTAAACGCAACAACAAATCCAAGGAGAAGACGACCAGGGTAGCAGCAGCAGCCTCAAAAGCAGTAGGTCTCAATATACATAAAGGGAAAAGCAGGATTCTCCGATACAACACAGAATGCACCAATCCAATCACAATTGACGGAGAAGATTTGGAAGATGTAAAAACCTTTACATATTTGGGCAACATCATTGATGAACATGGTGGATCTGATGCAGATGTGAAGGCGCGGATAGGCAGAGCAAGAGCAGCATATTTACAATTGAGGAACATCTGGAACTCAAAGCAACTGTCTGTCAACCAACACCAAGGTCAGGATTTTCAATACAAATATCAAGACAGTTCTACTGTATGGGGCAGAAACCTGGAGAACTACGAAAGCCATCATCCAGAAAATACAGGTGTTTATTAACAGTTGTTTATGCAAAATACTTCGGATCCGTTGGCCGGACACTATTAGCAACAACCAACTGTGGGAAAGAACAAACCAGATCCCAGTGGAGGAAGAAATTAGGAAGAAGCGCCGGAAGTGGATAGGATACACATTGAGGAAAGCACCCAACCGCGTCACAAGGCAAGCCATCATATGGAATCCTCAAGGCCAAAAGAAAAGAGGAAGACCAAAGAACACATGACATCGAGAAATGGAGATAGACATGAGAAGAATGAACAAAAATTGAATAGAACTAGAAAAGAAGACTCAGGACAGAGTGAGTGGGTTGAAGAATGCTGGTCGGTCAAAGCGACAGACATTCGCATTTCATCCTTTCACTTTCTTAAACAACAGCGTTGTGACGAGAAGGCAGTAAGTAGAACTTCCCTGATAATGATTGTATGTACGTGTTCATATGCAAGTATTTGGTAAGCAAGAGAGTTGATTCATCTTATCCTCGATCGTATCAAAGTATTTACCAACAGTTCTACATTTGAATTCTTAATTGATTGATCACTGGGTGGAGATTAATATCATGCGTGTCTAGTCCTTATTAATGAAGCTAAGCGACATGGGATCAAATCCATCAGGCAGCACCAGTTTCCTCAAGATTACAAATACACCTTGATGATGAGTGTTAAATAGTAGCACGAAACCCGGGTCTAGGATTACCTGTCGACTACCTTCAACCATCATCAAACATTTGAATTCTTCGGCAATTCTTATACAATTCAACTTTAGATTCATAACATGGTTATCAAAGATCATTCATATAAATGATATATATATATATATGAACTTACTAATAAATTCATTAATATAATTGGTACAAGAAATATAAATGTTGTATAGAAAAAGAATGTTATCAATGGATAATGTAATTGAAATGAATGATTTCCTATATATGGTTCTATAATAGTTGCTGTATGCTCATATTCACCTAACATCATCATTAAAGTTTTAAATAAAGATAAACTTAAATATTGAAATGGTTTCAATTCTAATGATATTGAGAAATTTGTTTTATTATTATTATTATTAAAATCAATATCATGAATTATTGGAAAACAATAATCGATTATTGATTGATTCAATGATGATGATGATGATGTTATTGTGTCCTAAAAATCAATAATTTGGGAGATGAATTAGATGTTCAATAAACAGAATATAAAATCAATATTCAATTAAAACTATTACATAATTATAATTAGAGAGTTGGGAAGAGGGGAGGGGGTGTTGAGATCATAAGTTAATTATGAACTAGACTATCATTAAAAACTTGGAAGTATTGGATGACCATTTTATCCTATTGTGGAATTTATTCAGTTGTATACATTTTACGATTCCATCCAGTAGGATTCGAACCTAGGACTTATTAATATCTCACATGAACGCTTAACATTTAGACGGTGTTAATGTCTAACTTCAATCAAATTCCACGATATTACACTATCGTTCAACATTGTCTTCAATGAGTTACTATCTCACAATAGACCTGATTGAACTTCACTGGTCACAATATTTAGAGGTGAAGTATATGTCCTAGGTAATAATCCCGCGAGGTGACATTTGTGGATGTGCACTTATTAAAAGTAGTGTAATACAAATTGATCAAGTAGTATAAGTTACTTATTATTCAATGATGAATCCATTGACTTAATCCAATATCAAGCGGTATAATAGATAATTCTAATAGTGAATGAACAGATATTGACTGTTAAACTTACTGAGAATCATCTTTTAATGCATCAGAAGTTTGTCATATTATGAATATGTCTAGAAGAAAGACTGTTCGCATATGTAAACACAACTAGTCTACATAATACCTTTATGTTATATCTGGACGAAGAATATGTGAATAGAAACCGTCAGGAAGTACTTATAGACTAATATGATACGTATGTTCTTATTGTATAACTATTAAGCGACTCTATTATATGTATATTCATATTCCACTCATTATAAGCTTAATAGATTAATAGAAGGTAACTAAACCATGTATTCACTTGGTACTGTTTTTACTTGAATCTTCCTATTGATGTTTAGGACTTCGATTTCACTCCTGGATTCCACTGCTAGTCACTATCCATCTTTGCTTATAATACTTGTTCACTAAGGCAATATCGAGGTAATATGCATAGTATGCACATATGTCAATAAGAGACTGAGCAATTGTAGTACTTAAGATCAATGGGAAGATTTATGTAAAACGATATTAAGTGAATTTGAACTTTACCACATTGGACAAGCAGGTGGCTATCAGGACTCAGTAGATGATTGGATAACGCGATGGCATTTGAAACTAGGAGTGGTGGGTTTGATTCCGAGAGTGAACATCAACTCTGAGATGTGACAGGTGTATCCACCTGACGAGTCCCAAATAGGACGAAATGCGCGTCAGACTAGATTCCACTATTGGCCTCTATCCACCTTTGTTTATATACCATTCATATTCATATTACTCTCATTATAAGCTTCTATTTGACCTATTAACTACCATTATATAATCTACTATTCTCAAATTATACTCAATTTATTAGTTACAGTCTCTCACAATCAAACCCACTTTTAGGCTTGATCTTGTAAAAATATAATCTTCTATTTATGGTGTGATGTGGTCCGGTTTTGCTTGTATATAGACTAAGTATATTTGAAATATATGACTCGACATACTGGTGACTGAGATTGGAGTTGGGAACTCTAGATTGTTCGTACAGGTGTATACGTCATTAGTTTGGTCGTATAAGTGAGCTTATCTAAATTGGCAATTGTATTTTACGATAATCGTATATGCTAAGGGCATAACAAGTTTAAAATATCTGATTCAATATAACGGAGACTGAGACTGGCTTTCGGAACTGTATCGGCTAGGTTAGAAGATAAGCTACTATATCAAAGACTCTAGACTGCTCGTACAAGTTTATGTGTCATTGATCCGGTCAATAAATTACTGTTCTGCAATTGGTGATCATATCGCTATACAGTTAACAGGCCACAAGATACAACACATTATCAGAATATTCAAAGACGCGATATACATCATGAACTAAAGCGTTTGTAGTTTAAGAAGTAAACTTACTGAATAATTCGGAGTTCTAAACAAAACATGAAATGACAATGCGAATGCAATAAACACCACAGAGAATACAACTAAACACTTTCCAACAGTTGCAAATACATGCAAAAACATGACAACAAATATTCCAACATGTTTAAATCTGAGCAAAATACACAAAATAACAGGAAAGCATAGATTTCAGGGTAGCTGTTAAGTTGCAAATAAATACATTATAATTTAATGGTTGAATTCATGGGTCAATTAAAGATAGAATACCATGAAAAACCTGGAAGCGTTATTCGGCTGTTTCATTCTAGTGTGGGACTCTTCGGCAGCGCGAATCTATCATCCCGTTTGCGAGATTCAAAACCAGGACCTTCGGTCATGCGCGCGAACGCCTAACCTTTAGACCACTGAGCCGGCCGGCATTAGATGGTGCTAATGTCTAATGTCAACCAATCCACGAAATTGTGCGACCGTCTTCCATCGTACTGAGGTAGATACCTGTTTCTACCCAACACGGATTAGCTTCACTGGTCACGGCTTCTCACTAAAATTCCGAGAATCCCCCTCACTAGTGAGCACACTGCAATTATTAGTATAGGAGTTATGGAGATTATAAAGTTTTTAATTGAGATCATGAACCGATTGATGTTAGACCACCACTGAAAAACTTGGAAGCACTGGACGGGTGTGTTGTTCTATTGTAGGACTCCTCAACAGTGCACATTGACGATCCCACTCGCGGAATTTGAATTTGATTTGTAAATGGTTACATATTTCCGAGGTTTGTGTTAAATAATTCAAGGAATGAATTAATCGAAGTTGAACCGAAAGGTACTGAATTGAAAGTTTTTAGATGAACATCATTACTTAGATAGAAGTATATCTAACAAAAAGTTCAATCTTTCTATTTTATAAAATTCGATACAAAATGTCTATAACGATACCATTTGAACTGTATGGACATATGACAATGAAAGTTGAGAAAGATTCAATAAATATTGTCAACAATCAGATCATTGAAACACCTACTGATAATGATCAAAATAGAAACTATTGGGAAGATTCAGAAAATTTCTCAAAAAAAGTCTTCCCCCCCCCCAACGGCTTTAAAAACGCTGAGAAGCATCTTATCCAATCAGAGTTCAATAGAAGTTTTTTGCCAGAAACATCTAGAAAGTGAAAAATCACCTGTCACATTTCCGATTGAATGATTACTTATACTGATATTATGTTTAGTAGCATTCCAGAATTTCTCGGGAGACCAGGGTCATCTAAAATGTTATTAAGACTCTGGCGAGACTCTAATTTGTGGATGACCTCTGAACGAATCTTAAGTGAACTGGAGAGATATTAGCCAATTAGCAAACAGTCAATATGGAGTAAAAATATGTTAAACAAAATCAAGGAAATAAAGTGGATACACTTCTTAGACGTGGTTCAAAAACTTGTCAACATTAGAAAGAGGTTCAGAGGTTCTACAATCGTAATGCATGTAGTAGAGGAAACCATCCATATGGCTCGATAATAGTAGGCCTCTGCAGCCATGATAAAGCCTCGACCATATAGCTTCAAAGTTTTTTGTATGCACTCAGGTTGTTGGGTCCACAAATTGTCACTTGTTGATAACGACATGATGCACATAACCAAGTCTATGTAGGTATTTGTACGCCCTCCAATTATCATTATATATTGTAGTACCTTTCTGCAGCCAGTGTTATTGATGCTTTTATTATCCAGTTTGTCTTAGTCTTAATCTGGGTCGAGTGAAAAAAGTTCCTATTCTAACAAACTTTTTCCTCTAATATATATCACATCGAAAGACAATATCATCACTGTAGTCTATACAAAGGTTCACAAGTCATTTGACTACCATAATCAGAAATAAATGAAACTTCTTAGGAATCTGTTATGTTGTAACCGCTTAGTTATCACATTTTCTTTAAAATTGGTACAAGGAGACACCAAATATAGATGCGCCACACAAATCTCATTTGGTATGTGTGAGGGCCGTGATACTGCCCGGGTGCCCAAACCGATGCAAGTGATTTTGATAGGGGGCCACACCCGGAGCCTTCGACATAAAGGTCTGATCCACAAGGTAGTGGAGCAACGTCAGGAGATACAGTCATATGGGAGCCGGTGACCAACAAGAGTTTCATGTCCTATTTGTCCCTTTAGGATACTGGAACCCATGTGCACCATTGGTTTGGAATTAGGGTTTTCCATCTCTCCTAGGTGGACTCTCTGTGTCCACCAACTAAGTTAAAGCGCCGGACATTCGCTTTTCGTCCACTCCATTTCGTAAACAATACCCTCGCCACAAGAAGGCAGTGAGTAGGACTCACAATTGATTGATCACTGGGTGGTGATCAATCTCATGCTTGTCTAGTCCTTATTAGTGCAGATCGAACGCTATCGATCATGTTGCAATGTGGCCACCAGTCTAGGTGACTCGACACTGCGGGCACTATGTATCGAGATTTAGATGGTGGTTGGAGGTAGTCAACAGGAAACCCTGGACCCGGGTTTCGTGCTACTTGGCACTCGTCAGCAAGGTGTACCTGTAATCTTGAGGGAACTGGTGCTCCCTGGCGGATTCGATCTCGTGTCACCCAGCTTCACAGTCAGAGACGTTACCACTGAGCTATCCGAGCCGTGACTAACCTCCTGTTGGACTGAGATGTAATCACAATTGATTGATCACTGGGTGGTGATCAATGTTGTTCTTGTCTAGTCCTTATTAGTGCAGATCGAATGCTATTGACTACCTCCAACCACCATCTAAGTGAGTAGGACTCCCCCACTCTCAGCCATACCAGGGCATTTGGGGGCTCCATTTCCAATTAGAATACTTTACATGAATACACTTGAACTATAAAAGAAAAATAAGATTATCATTTAATAAAACTGATTTACCTCATCATTTGTAATAGAAAATTAAACCATGCCAAAAACATCACAACTACACCTAATTCAATATAATGATGATTTAAATGATTCTTTATTGTTAATGCTGAATAAGTCATTGCTAATGCATTTAATAAAAATTCTAAATAATTATTCCAATCTTTAAAATATTCATATTTCTATATAAAGAAATAAAGAAAAGAAAGAAAGAAAAGGAATGAAAAAAAAATAGAAAAAAAATTTATTGATTCAAATATTGATTAGTAATTGATTAAATGATTGATTGATTGATTGGCGTGACTCTAATTTATGAACGAGCCAATCAGAGGCGTTTTAGAGATTTCAAGGTTACAGCGCCAATTTCAGTGCTTAATGATAATGTACGATCGGTTCATAAGGAATTTTGTACAAAACGTGATGGAACGGCGAGATTATAATTTGTGGACGAGTCAATCAGGTATAAGATAATAGATCTCGGATTTTAACGCGAAAGCCTTTCATCCATTTGGCTGAATAAATTTCTGGCATTATAGCTAATGTCAGTTCGTGATAAAAACCCCATATATAATTTCTAACTAAGGCAACTTATGACAATTATTGAGAACTGGATAATAAAAGCACCAGTAACGCTGGCTGCAGCTAGGTACTACAATATATACGGATGATTGGAGAGCATACGGACTCCTACATAGGCTTGGTTATGTGCATCGTGTCATTATCCACAAGTAGCATTTTGTGCACTCAACAACCGGAGTGCACATAAACAATATTGAAGCTATGTGGTCGAGTCTGAAAGAGTATTTGAGACTTTATCATGGCTCCGTATGGATGATTTCCTCTACTACATGCATTACGATTGTAGAACCTCTGAACCTCTTTCTAATGTTGACAAGTTTTTGAATCACGTCTAAGAAGTGTATTCACTTTATTTCCTTGGTTTTGTATAATATATTTTTACTTTATACTGACCGTTTACTGATTCTCTAATATCTCTCAAGTTCGCTTAAGATTCGTTCAGAGGTCGTCCATAAATTATAGTTTCGCCGATTGATTTTATGAATGATTTATAGATTATATTAAATTAATATGAAATAAATTAGAAAATTTATTAAATGATCAGTTCTAATAATTCCATCTGGAATGTCCCACCCTCCACGTGGAGCTACTGCCAATCACAAGCTTGGATAAAGAAGGAGGGTTATGCGTGAGATGAGCGACACTTGTTCTAAATCTCAAGTATGTAAACAGAAGGATTATAAAGTTTTGTATCATAGTTGATGTTAGTTCATGATGAAAACAATTAACCCTAATTTGTAAACCGAACAAACAAATGATGTTTTATTTGAGAACTCTAAAGAAAATGATACACCAACACCTCAATTAAGCCATTACATTACCACTTATTGACTTAGAATACACAAATGACATAGTCCTATTTGATGAAGACACTGATAAAATATAGAGTCTTTTAGTTGCACTAGGAAACAATCGCAGGATGTTTGGTATGAGTTTCTCCTTCTCTAAATGGAAGTTGTTGCTTCATGACTGACCTGCGTCAACATTTGAACTAGAGATATGGAATGAAGTAGTTAAACGCGTCCACAACTTCACTTATCTCGGAAGCCTGACCAACCCTTACGGATTGGTGGCTGGCAAAATCATTGCACGGATTCAAAAAAGCTCGTTTGGCTTTTGCCACCTAACGTCACCTATGGCGAAGGCGAGATATCCGTCTATCCATTAATGGGCGAGTATACTGAGCGACAGTTCGTTCTGTTCTACTTTACGGCTGCGAAACGTGTCCATCAAGAGTAGAAGATAATCAGATGTCTTAGAAATATTCCTCGCATCTGCTGGGATCATCGGATATGTAATAGTCAGGTTAGACGCAGGGTATTAGGTAATAGTGGTAAATCAGTTGATGAAATTGCAAATCTTCATCGACTGAGATGGTTGGGCCATGTGTTACATATGCCTGAACAATATTGACCGGTGTTGGAGACGGATGGAAGAAACTTAGGGGTAGCCAAACCAAAACATGGCATCAGTGATCGAATTCACTAGCTACTAGTCTTAGCCATGTTGGTAGATGCATACTACTTGGTTGGGGTCCGCATGACTATCGTAACCAATGGTTGGAGACTCTGTGTGACATGGATCAGAATCGATCACAACGGCGGTTTATACACTCTTCTTCTTACCTTAAACCATAAGATTAAAGCTACTTTATACCTTATAAGCAAAAGTGGATGGTTTCCAGCAGTGGATTTCAGGAAATGCGTTTTGTCTCATTTGTGACTCATCAGATGAATTTGCCTGCATCCCATAGTTGATGCTCTTTGCTTACGACACTTGTGAATTTAGACAATATTGAGACAATCCGCACAAAATACACATATTCTAATAACAGAGACTGGTGTTTACTAATCAACTCGTTATTGAAACTGTTTTCAAAGTAATGCGATATAATGAATGTAACTATATGACAACTTAAGGTTGTATATGAGGAAGAAATTCCCAAACGGATATAAAACAACCATCGAATGTTACTTTCTCTTGAATAGTTATTCAAACGATGTTTAATCTTTAAACTGAAATGAATAAGATTAGTCTATTCAGTTATTCATGAATAAAAAAACAGAAATTACCTGAGTTATTAATTGCCATATTTTAATGTTTAAATCTAAAGCTGTTAGAACTAAGATAATTGCAGCAATCGTTGAAAATATATACATTCTTGTTGGTGTTTCATAAAACTAAATTGTGCAGAAAACATTATAAAAGGATAAACATTTAATAATTATTTTAATCGTTGAGATCAAGAGTCAATTGAAGCTAGATCATCATGAAACATTTGGAAGTACTGAACAGCCGTTTCGTCGTAGTGTGGGACTTCTCAGCAGTGCGCATTCATGATACTGACTCGAGAGATTAGAACCCAGAACCAGTGACTAATATAGGTTAACCGGGTCTGTTGTGAGAAAGTAATTCATTAAAGACAATAGTGGATGTATCACTCAATTTCGGAGATTGGTTGAAGTTAGACATTAACACCACGAAACCCGAACCAAGGACTCGTGGATACACACTGTCGAGGAGTCCCATAGTAGGACGAAATGGCCATCCAGTACGTTCAGGTCTTCCATGGTAGTCTAGCCTAAATTGACTCATGGATTTAACTGTAAAACTACTAAAATTTTCACAAAACTACTTCTGAAACAGGAAACATTCCGATCTTAAATCTTTCATTTGTATAAATGTTAATGCTAAAGTTTCATTCATTGAACGATACTTATATCATTGATTTACATCCATGCACAATTTATTCTGGTTACCAATACATAATATTAGGTTATTTGGGTTTTTCAGATATAGATATCTTGTAAGCAAAGATGGATAGTGACTAGCAGTGGAATCCAGGACATGCACTTAGTCCTAATTAGGACGGGTCAGCTGGATGTATCTGCATCCCACAGTTGATGTTCACTCTCGGACTCGGATTAAATACCGTTTGCTTCAAACGCCACCGCCTTATCGACTTAGCTACTGAGTGCTGTTAACCACTTGATTGTGCAATGGGGATGAAGTTTAAACTCACCTGGTATTGTTTACTTGAAATGCGTGTCCTAGATTCCATTGCCAACCACCATACATCTTTGCTTATAATGATTGTGACTGAAGACAACATCGAAGCAATTCATACAGGATGCACATATGCCAATAAGAGAATGATCAATCGCAGTCATAAACAATAATGGGAAGATACAAGTAAACAATACCAAGTGAATTTATAGATATTTCGTGTTTGTAGGATAATTGTGACCAATCAGTTGTGAAAGTGTAATATTATTTATAAGTTTTCGATGTGACTACTCGAATTTATTCAGCTCAGATTTAGATATTTTTTAAACTGAAAGATATCCAATATCAATCTGTGATGTATGTTACTTATGTCGACAAATATAAGTAGTATGTAACACCAATCAGAAGTGGAAAATCGGGCAACAGAAGGCTATAAAGGTTGACTTGAAGAAAATAGAAACGGAAATACGATGTGAACTTATGATGAAAGTTTCCAAATTAAGTAATCAATGTATAGTTCTCATATTTTATCAAGAGATTCTGTAACTCTTTGTATCTGGACACACAATCAGTTGTCCTCATCTATGTCCTTGTTCACAATAAACCTTATTGTAAGCCTTCTGTTTACATGAAAATGCATCTGACTTAGTCATCTGTATACCTTGTTTACAACATAGAAATAATATACATACATTCTTCAGATCAACATCCCTGTCGTACACTTTCAATATAAAACAGTTTGTATAAATGAAACTTTATGTTTAACTTACCAGTTCAGAACAACTTGATATTTTGTCAATATTTTCTACATGACGTATTGGACTATGACCCAAAACCAAACAAGTAATTGCAAATAATAAAACAGCATAATAAACACTTGCACATAATTGAACCCAACGTCCATAAGTTTGCCTTTAAAAAAGTTAATCATTTATAACAATAATAATGAAATTAGGATTAGAAGGGGTTTTGTGGATATTATAGTAACTTTAGTGATTGAGAGCATGGGTTAATTGAAGCTAGATCATCATGGGAAACCTCAAAGCACTGGATGGCCGTTTCGTCCTAATGCGGGACTTCTCGGCAGTGCGTACCCACGATCCCGACTCGCGAGATTAGAACTCAGGACCAGAGACTAGTAGAGTTCAACCAATTCTGTTGTGAGATAGTAACTCACTAAAGACAATGGTGAATGTATCACTCAATTCCGTAGATTGTTTGAAATTAAACATGAACACTATTAGATCCAGACTCAGTGGTCTAGAGGTTAAGCGTTCGTCAGCGAGACCGGTAGCTCCTGGGTTCAAAACTCGTGAGGCGAGATTAAGGATGCGCACTGATGAGGAGTCCCACAATAGAAAGACACGGCCGTCCAATGCTTCCCAGTTTTCAATGGTGGTCTAACATCGAACCGTTCATGATCTAAATCAAAAAGAGCAGTGAATTTTACAGAATCTATTCGTTTAAACATTAGAATGATTCAAATATTCAGTAATGAACAATATTTAAGAAAAAACTATAGTTACTATCATTACCATTTTCTTTCTAAATATGCTTTACAAAGTGGATGAATTAATAACTCTTCACGTTTCAACTCGACCATTAACTGAAAAGTAAAGTAAACATTATTATGTATGTATTATGATGGAATGTACAACTATATGCACCATAAAATTGATAATACTTCGGAAAATAGTTTTATACTTTTTATAAGGAAATATGAATGATGGCTAGTAGCAAAATCTATGACATACGTTTCGCCCCATTTAGGATTCGTCAGCTGAATCTCAGATATGATGTTCACTCCAAAACTCGAAGTTCAGTACAGTTCGCTTCAAACGCCATCACGTTATTCACTTAGCTACTGAGTCCGGATGGCCTCTAGCTTGTGCAATTAGAAACTCATCGATTACAATGAATTTTGTACTTTTTGTTAAAGTTGGATAGTGACAAGGAATGGAATCTAGGATGTACTTTATTAGGCTGAATGTATCTGTACCTCAGTGTTGATGTTTTGTTGGGGATGTTAGATACCCAGAAATCACTTAGAAAAGGTCCTAATTTTGTAATTTTAGTTTGAAACTTTGAATTTCTTTGTTTTTGCGCCAAAAGCGCTCTTGTCACCTTCATGTCGTATTCTCCACTTGGGAGAATCTTAAATGCTATTGGTTTATTGTATCTTTTAGTATTTTATTTAGTAACGTTTCCCAAGGACGGTTTTGTGCTGTATATATACGTTTAATTTGTGTCTGTCGTGGTTGCTCGTACTTGTGGTTACTTGCAAGTTATATTTCCCCATTTCGAACGTAGACTTCTCTCTCTAATTAGCGGAGTTGAGACATATCAGAATAGCTGGTTTATTGGTCTTTGATCACAGAGTCATTGTTCCATTCTCAAACTAGATGAACTCGTAATCAATTCAAATATAGCATGTTTACATTGAAATTTTTTTTGCTTCAAATACTCAATCCATTATTATACACTTAGTTACCCATTAATGATTATTTTCTTTGTAGTGAATAGATCGATAATTATTGATAATGAAAAAAAAGATATCTTCACTTTTTGGTAATAATTCGATTGTCGTTGAACGTTTAAGTCACTTAACTACCTAACAGTAGTATAATTAGTCTGTATCTTACTCACTCGGTTAGTCTGAACGTAAGTGTTTTGATGGTAAATTATGTTGTTAGCAACAACGAATATGTAGCATTGAATAATGGCTTTGAAGTTGTGTACTACTCTGTGCTGAAGATTTTGGTTAACAAGCTTTCATTGTATTTTTCGCTTACATTTTTAGCACATACTTCAATAATAAGTATGTTATTAGCGACGAGCTATGACCATCGTGATATATGTATATATATATTACTTACGCCTGTTACCCCTCATCGAGGAGCATGGGCCAATCACCAACATTCTCTATCAAGCTATGTCCTGAGCAAACTTTTCTAGGTATTACCAATTATTATTCATCCTATTCATGTCTGCTTCCGATTCTTGAAGCAGTATGTTCTTTGATATCCCTATTTTCCGTTTCCCTTCAAGATTCCAAATTAACTCTTGCCTCGTGATGCAGTTTGATGTCGTCCATAATGTATGTCTATCCACTTTCAATTACTTTTCATAATCTCTTCTGCAGCTGAAAGCTGGTTTGTTACCTCCCACAGTAGGCTGTTGCTGATAGTATCTGGCAAACGGATATTGAATATCTTGCGTAGAAAACTGTTTATAAATACTTCTACCATTTTGCTGGTTATTGTAGTAGTTCTTCACGTTTCAGCTCTCTACAATATAACTAACTGTCTTGGTGTTCTTATTGAAGATTGTGACTTTGATATTGTTTGACAGTTGTTTTGAGTTCCATATGTTATTCAACTGTAGTAATGCGGCCCTTGCTTTACCAATCCTCGCATTTATATATGCATCAGATCTTTTTTGTTTATCAATGATGCTTCCCAGGTGCATGAAAGATTCCACATCTTCCAGAGTTTCTCCATCGAGTGTGATTGAGTGTATGTTCTCCGTGTTGTATTTCAGCATCTTGCTTTTTCCTTTATGTATGTTGAAGCCCACTGACTCAGAGGCTTCTGCCACACTATTTGTCTTCATCTGCATTTGTTCATGTGTATAGGATAGAAGGGCCAGGTCATTTGAGAAGTCCAAATCTTCTGAATGATTCCGAGCTGTCCATTTTATTCCGTGCTTTCCCTCAGATGTTGAGGTTTTCATAATCCAGTCGACCACCAAAAGAAAGAGGAAGGTGGAGAGTAGGCAGCCTTGTCCGCCTCCAGTCTTTACTTGGAATACATCTGTCAGGTGTTCTCCATGCACGACTTTGCACTGTAGTCCGTCGTATGAATTCCGGATAATGTTGACAATCTTCTAAGGAAGTCCATAGTGTCGAGGAAGTTTCCATGATGTTCTCCTGTCTATAAAGTCAATGAACTTCATATACAGAGACGAGTTCCACTCACTTAAGGTTTCTATCCACTCCAGATTGATTTAATGGTCATGAACCATAAACGTTATCCCTTGGATTAAGGACTGTTTAATTACCAATTAATCTTGATTCTTTGAAGCACAAATAACTATTTTTTATATGAAATTGTGATTTTCATTACATAAACCCCCAAATTTCCTTGTACGGCCAAGGGTGATGAAAGTCAGCTCTCCCTCTCCAAATACTCTCACATGGATACGCGTATACAGTCACTACCATGGAAGTCCTACTCACTACCTTCTCATGGCAGGGCTATTGTTTACGAAATTGGGTGGACGAAAAGCGAATGTCCGGCGCTTTAACCTGGTTAGTGGACATAGAGAGTCCACTTAGGGGAGTTGTAAAACCTTAATTCCAAACCAATGTTGCATATGGAATCCAGGATCCTGGGCGAACAAATGGGACATGAACTTCTTGTTGATCACCGGTTATCATAAGACTGCATCTTCTGACGTTGCTCCACTACCTTGTGGATCAGACCTTTAGGTCGGAGGCTTCGAGTGTGGCCTCCTATGAAAACCACCTGCTTTGGTTTGGGCACCTAGGCAGTATCCTGCCCCATACACAAATCGGATGACTTGTGTGGTACGTATGTATTCATTGCCCCTTTGTACCAATTTGTATTACTAATTTATATTCTGCCCTTGTACAGTTATACGTCTCATGTGTATATAATTGTGTGTTTATACACATATCATTTGATCCAATACCTTTCTTCCTTCAGCACTATTTAAAATTTACATTAACAATTGTAATGGACAGTATTTTGAATAGACATTAATGCCTTCTATCCTTCTCATCTCTTCATTTATCTACAAAACTGAATGCATCAAATATAATCAATCGTAGCATACTCATATATTCAACAGCTTATATTCGCTTTGTCAATCAAACGAACACATAAAATTTAATTAGGATCTACATTTTGTCTACATCATAAACGAATTCCATTATATTACAGTCCGACAATGATCATCTAAAATCTTTAGGATGAAATGTAACAACAATCATAGATAACATTATTTAGATGAAATACATTGAAAATTTTATATTTACCTTGATACGTTTCATAGGATCTTGTGGTGGTTTTTCACAAGGATTCATGGGTCGTTGAAGTATTGAAAAGTCATAGAATATCTATAATAATGAAACAGTTTAAAGATATCAAATCTATTTAAATGTTATCTTTTGAGGGAGATGTGAAGATATTTATTAAATTGTTAAATGATTCAAATGAATAATTATGATTGGACTTTAAATCGATTCAGGTGAATCAGTTCACTTTAAGTTGTAGATAGTTCTAGATGAAAATTTAAATTAATCAGAACTTCCATGACAACTGGTTTCAACTATTTGATTTCATATTGTGTTAAATGTTGATTGATGATGGCTGTTAGGGAGTTTCAAAGTATTCTTTGAAAAAATCTATAGTAGTCTAGGAAACTATAGGAAATGCTATCGGCGAGATTATAATTTATGGTTGAACCAATCAGGTATAAGATAATGAGGCTCGGATTTTGGCGCAAAATTATTCATCCATCCATTTGATTAAATAAAGTTTTGGCATTTTAGCTAATGTCAGTTCATGATGAAAATCTTAAACGTAATTTCTAACCCTGACCATCAACTGTAAGTCATAATTCTTCACACTGGTTTATTAGGTGAACACTCTTGAGGTCACTTTGAAGTCGCTCAAAGGTCGTCCATAAATTATAGTCTCACCATGCTATCTAATAGGCGCTGAATAGATTCTTCTCAAAAACATCTAAACAGTAAAGAGTCATGTATTACGTTTCTGATTAGATATTTACATATGTTGTTACTACATTAAGTATGGTCTCAGAAATTTCCAGAAGCCCAGGCTTGTGTGTAATTCCATAAATACCCTCATTTTTCTGTACACAAAGTAACCTTAAAGTAGCGTGTTATTTTCGGACTATGTGCTTTTTCTTTTGTGCTGAAGATGCCATGTAGTTTAAGCTCAGGAGTTGCTCAAATATCTGATGGAGAGTTCATTCACAATTGATCAATCACTGTGTGGTGATCAATGTCATGTATGTCAGGCCCTTCTTAGTGCACATCGAATCCTATCGATCAAGTTGCAACGTTATCACTAGTCTAGGTGACTCAACATTGCATGTACCATGTTGAAATGAGATGATGGTGGGAGGTAGTTAACAGGAAACCCTGGACCTAGGTTTCATGCTACTTGGCACTCATCAGCAAGGTGTACCTGTAATCTTGAGGGAACTGATGTTCCCTGACGGATTCTATCTGCACTAAGAAGGACCTGAGATACATGACACTGATCACCATCCAGTAATCAATCAATTGTAAACACATCTCAGTTTTACAGGAGGTCATCCGTGGCCCGGATAGCCCAGTGGTGACGCCTCTGACTGTGAAGCTGAGTAACACGGGATGAAATCCGTCAGGGAGCATCGGTTTCCTCAAGATTACAGGTACAACTTACTGAAGAGCATTCACTTATCAGACTTATCAGGAATCCCAACTCTGCGAACATAACCCTAAACTCATAATTCGTCTTCTTGAAAATCAACTATAGAAATCTTTTTATAATGACCAAAAAGAAACCTATAAAAGAAAAGACTAATTCAATGACGATAGTTTTCAGCGTAAAGCTGGAATGTTGATAAACTCTGAAAAGATATGCTTAAATCTTTCGTACTGAAACAACTATTTCCATAACAGTACATAGTAAAGCGGTTATTACCATACTTATCATTAAGAATAATTAACTTCCAAAGAACGTCTGGAGAAGTTGTATTTAAAGAAGCTAACTCCTCCCCAAACAAAAAACAGTAAAATAAAATCTATAGACTTAACTCACTTCATGATCAAGAGTATTTTTCGTGCCAATTTCTTTAATACACTGATCCAAAACAAGCTATCATCAAAACAATGAAGAAAATATCAAACGTTTATGGAAACTTTCTTATATTATTTGAGATCATAAACCGATTGGTGTTAAACCACTATTGAAATCCTGGACGCACTGGAAGGCCATTTCGTACTGTTGTGGGACTCCTCAGCAGTGTGCATCCATGATCCCCTTAGTGGGGTTCAAACCCAGGACCTCCGGTCTCGCATGCGAACACTTAACATCTAGACCACTGGGCTGGCCGGCATCCAACGATGTTAATGTCTAACCCCAACCGATCCACTAATTTGCGCGACCATCTCCCATTGTACTGAGGTAGATGCATGTCTCTATTCGACATGGATTAGCTCCACTGGTCACGCCTTCACCGAGAAACCGTGCACACTGCTGAGGAGTCCCACGACAGGACGAAACGGCAGTTCAATGCTTCCAATTTTTCAGTGGTGGTCTAACACCAACTGGTTCATGATCCCAATCAAAAACTTAATAATCTCTACAAACCCATACTGATTTCTTATATTAGTTTAACAACCAACGTATCCATGAATAGAAAAGTGTTTAAATCATAATCTTTCATGTTATCTATTCATATCATGGTAGAATAAACATACTCCTCTCTCAGTATTATTTATCCTTCTTAGTAAGTGAATGGTAAAAAGATGTCATAACCATCTTCTACTCTATGAATCCGAGTTAGCAGTTGAGACTAATTAGAAGAAGTCTACTGTTCAATTTATCTTCATTCCGTTTACTTCATCTAAAGGAGGTTGTTAAGATGTACATGATAGTGATCTTGACCACTAGGGAAGATCGGATTTAAAATACATTTCACAATAGAAGAGCATTAAATAATTATTTTTTTAGTTCCAGCTCTTAATGGAAGTACACAATCTAGATCCAGTTGATGATAAGATGCATGATCTTAGCAGCTCTTGAAAACTACATTGTAAGTCAATTGTTGAATTGTGATTTGATGATCCTGTGAGAATACCTTGATACTGTCTTCAGTATCAAGTATTCTAAGCAAAGATGGTTGATAGCTAGCAGAGGAATAGAAGACGCGTGTTTCATCCTGTTTCGGATTCGTCAGTTGGATATACCTGAATCTCAGATTTGATATTCACTCTGAGACTTGAACCCAGTACCGTTCGCTTCAGACGCCATCGTGTTATCCATTTACCTAATGAGTCCTGATAGCCACTAGTTTGTACAATTGTATTACATTGATCTGAAATAGATCTTAATTTCATTCAGAGGATATGAATCCCTCAGAATTTTAATTGTGCCTTTTATTAATTCTCTATAATAAACCTTTGGAAACAACCTAACTGAATAGTGAATTATTTTAATTCAATATATCCTAACTACTATATAACACTTTGGCATATTTTAACTAACTTTACACATTGATGGCATATTTCGAATAAATCCATCCACTGGACATTGTGATGTATTGTCTAACATTCCATGTAGTTCTGGCCAACTGTATTAAAGAATTGAAATTGAAATAAAAAAACTTCACATTTGAAAGATGTAAGAAGTACACTTTAACATTTGATTAGTGAATAGTATGAGGAGAAAAAAAAAGAAAAACTCTGTGGCAAGACAATAATTTATGGATGAACCAATCAGATTTAGAAGGACAGTTCTTAGATTTTGGCGCGAGATTCATTAATCCAATTGTTTAAATAGAGTTCTGGTATTTTAGCTGATGTCAGTTTGTGATGAAAATCATAAATCGGATTCCTAATCCTAACCATCAACTGTAATTCATAATCCTTACTCTTCATACTGCTTTATAACCATCATTTAGCCCTAGTTAGTAGGTGGACATTTCTAAGTTCACTTTGGCGTCGCTCAAAGGTCGTCCATAATTTATAGTCTCACCAAATGTGTTTGTTGTTTAAGTATGCTATAAAGTACATGAGATTTCTTTTGTAAAAAATTAAAGACTCTTATACTTTTTGGAAGGGGGTTTTGTAGAGATTTTTATAATTTATAGTTGAATTCATCAGTCGATTAAAGCTAGACCACCATGGGAAACCTGGAATCACTGGATGATCGTTTTGTCCTATGATGGGACTCATTAGCAGTGCGCATCCATTCTGATAATAATCATAATATGCTCACTAGTGACTGGTCTCCAAGAGGTATTTTCTGGAATTCTAGTGAGAAGCAGTGACCAATGGAGTTTAACCAGATCTGTTGTGAGATAGTAACTCACTGAAGATAATGGTAGTCGATGGCTCAATTTCATAGATTGATTGAAGTTAGACTATAACACCGTTGGACACCGGTTTAGTGGTTTAGATGTGAAGCGTTCATGTGCGAGACTGTTATGTCTTGAGTTCGAATCTCGTGCGGTTGGATCGTGGATGCATACTGTTGAAGAGTTCCCACATTAGGATCAAACATCCATCCAGTACCTTCAGGTTTTCAATGATGATTCAGCTTGAATCAACTCATGAATTTAATCATTAAGTTACTCTCATTCTGATCAATAGTTAATTACAAAAAATATTCACTAACCGTGAATGTGTAACAATAGCTTTCATTGTTTCATAATTTCTACGTTGTAAAGCATATGTAACAAAGTATATACCATCTTTATCAGGTAAAATTTTTGCTTTGATGTCAGTAAATAATCTAATACTTCTGCATTATTCTCTTTGGCAGCATAATGTAATGCAGTCATCTAAAAAGAACGATTAGATAATCTCAAGTTAGAATATGAAGAGAAATAATTCGAAATGGAGTATAATGGTCATAAATCTTTTTGTTATTCCTAATGAAAGAACACAAATTTGATTTGTGAAGTCAGTATACAAACAGACTATATAGTAGTATTATAAGAACAGCAAAACAAAAGCAGCATATTTGCAATTGAAGAATATCTGGAACTCAAATCAACTGTCTGTCAACCAACACCAAGGTCAGGATTTTCAATACAAATGTCAAGACAGTTCAACTGTATGAGGCGGAAACCTGGAGAACTACGAAAGCCACCATCCAGAATATACAGGTGTTTATTAACAGTTGTTTATGCAAAATACTTCGGATCTGTTGACTAGACACTATCAGCAACAAGCTACTCTGGAAGAGAACAAACCAGATTCCAGTGGAGGAAGAAATCAGGAAGAGGCACTGGAACTGGATAGGATACGCATTCAGAAAAGCAATCAACTGTATCGCAAGGCAATCCCTCACATGGAATCCTCAAGGTCAAAGGAGGAGAGGAAGACCAAACAACACATGACATTGAGAAATGGAGACAGACATGAAAAGAATGAACAACAATTGGAAGGAACTAGAAAGGAAGGCCCAGGACGGAGTGTGTTGGAGAATGCTGGTCGGTGGCGTATGCTCCATTTGGAGTAACAGGTGTAACTAAGTAAGTAAGTGCGTATGTATGTATGTAGGTAGGTAGGTAGGTATATGAGTAAATGTATATTTTGTCAAGAACTAATCAACAGTACTAAATTCTAGTAGATTCCTACATATAAAAACTAAGATATTACTTTATAAAAATATTATTCTATGAGAATAAATAAGTTTAGATATGAATTAATCCGTTTAAACGATCAATTATAGACTTCTCATTTTCGCATCGAAAGCGCCCATTTTCACCTTCAGATTGTATTTCCCACTTGGAAGATCCCTGAATGTTATCGGTTCATTGTCTCTGTTAACATTCTATTTTCTGGCGTTTCGTAAGGATATTTTTATGCTATATATATATATATATATATATATATATATATATACGCCTGAGTTGAGCTTGTTGTTGTTCGTGCTTCTGGTTGCTTGTACAATATACTTTCCCTCTTCTGAACCTCGATTAGCGAGACTGGGATGCATTGGAATACTTAGCTTATATTGTCATTGTGTCGTGGAGTCCTCGTTCCGTTCGTTAATTTTGATGATCTTGTATTCCTTTTCAAACATAGCAATATTTATACAAAAACTGTTCATTGTCATATTCAAAAATTCTCGATACTTTGTTAATTTAAGGATGAGTTCGCCTATAAACCAACTTGATACAAAAAGGAAATTCTATTCCAAATCTATTTAAACCTGAACTTATAAAACTATTTTGGTGTGTACTACTGATGTCGACGGATATGAGTAGTATGTATTATCAAGGGAAATATCTGACTGTAAACAGTTAGGATTTTTTTCATTTTACCATTACCATTACTTTTTAGTTTAAAGAATGAAATGTAAGACCTAAATCTTTATTTTCACATTGATGTATGATTTGTTCACCTGATTGCTTTATAACTTATGACAAACCTAGACAAATAAACCATTGAGTCCCAATTTAATCGACCGACGTCCCTGGATTTGATTCACTCCCCCATAGGATCGTGATTGTACACTCATGCTGTTACAGGAATGCTGTCTAATGTTTCCTGGTTTTCAATTGTTGTTCAACACAAGTTGATTCATGATCTTGATAACATTCAATAATCCCTAAATTTCTATCTATATATAAATTGACCTGAAATAATGTCACATTGTAAAATATAAACTCAATATCGTAATCTTTTTAAGCAAAGATGGATAGTGGTTAGCAGTGGAAACCTCATCCTACTACACAAGCAGGTGGCTATAATGGATTCAGTAGCTCAATGAATAACGTGATGGTGTTTGAAGCGAGGGTTTGAGTCGTGGAGTGATCATCAACTTTGTGATGTTGGTACATCTAGCTGACGAGTTCAAAATATGTCAAAACTTGTGTTCTGAGTTCCACTGCTAGCCACTATCCAATTTAGCTTATAAAAGCTTGTGACTGATGACAATATCGAGGCAATCCTCACAGGATTTACATATGCCAACAAGAGACCGATCAATTACAGTTCTAAATAACAATGGGAAGATACAAGTTAAACAACATCAAGTGAATCAATATCGTAATGACTAAAATCGTTTAACTGGAAGTAAAACCGGTAAACTTAACTTCTTATCCCAATACTTCATAGAGACTTACTCCGTGAAAATTTGTTTGATTCAATAAAGATGGACTTGATTGTAATAATAATTTGCATATTTTTATACAACCACCAATTGAAACATAATGTAATGGTGTATTACCTAAATGGCATCTATGATAGAGATATCAAGAAAACAGAAGTATATTATTAGTAGTTAAGTGAAAACTATGAACAGATACCGCATAGAACTTTGTTTTGTCTTTATAGCCTAAATCCTTAGTTGATTACTCGTTTAACTTCATTATCTATAGTTTAGATCTGTATCCGGACCTACTTACAATGGTTTTGTCAGACAGATAATAAACATTTTTTTTACATTTCTTATTATTTATTTACTGGGAGGTGGGAGGTTTCTTTCAAGACAGTTGTACTGTACGAAGCTGAAACGTGAAGGACTATTACAACCATCATCAAGAAGATACAAGCATTTATAAACAATGCCATCAGTAACAACCTGCTGTTGGAGAGGACAAACCAGTTTACAGCTAAAGATGAAATTAGGAAAAGATAGTGTAAGTGGAGTGGACATACATTGAGGAAATCATCAAACGGTATCACGAAGCAGGCGTTAACTTCGAATCCTGAAGGTAAATGGAAAAGAGGAAGGCCAAAGAATATACTTCTTTGGGAATTCGAAGCAGATATGAAAAGGATGAATAGCAACTGGAAAGAACTGGAACGGATTATCCAGGACAGAGTTGAATGGAGACGGATAACTAGTGGGCGGCCAATGCTCCTCCACGAGGTGTAAAAAGCGTAAGTAAGTAGGGAGGTTTCTTACTATAGCAGAGAGACACAAAAGATTCTTGATAGAGATGAAATGTATTTCTATTCTGTTTAGTATGCTATAGATGTCTCATTGTAAACAAACTTCACATTCTACGTATCAGTATTATAAAACGAAATAACAGAGGATTCGGCGATGAGTTCACCCGATGACATTGTGATTTCCTTTGAACATGATTAAACAATTCCTGTTGATAGCATTCATCGTAAAATAATATTAGCTAGAAACTCATCGAAGATCATGGAGCGTAACCTTAGCACACTACTAAATCAACGATATTTTGAATGTCTTCTTAACTAATCTCATTAATTATGATGAGAAGATGAAGTTTTTCATAGCTATGCGGTATATTAAGCAAATACAATCCAAATATTTGGACTATACTAGTAACAATAAATGGTTACACTATTGTGATGATCATCAGTATTTTCAGTTCAATATATTTTACCGTTTTGTTAAGTGATTGAAAAATGTCATACACTAATCTAGATTACGTGCTATTTAATATTTATTCCCATAATATTCAGTGGAGTTTAGTGATAACCAGATGGCGTTTGAAGCAAACGGTACTGGTTTCGAGTCCCAGGGTGAACATCATCTGTGAGATGCAGGTACATCTAGCTGGCGAATCCCAAATGGGACGAAACGCGCGTCCCGGATTCCACTATTAGCCACTATACATCTTTCCTTAGAATGCTTGTGGCTTAATGAAAATATTGGGCAATCTTTAGAGGATGCACATATGCCTACAAGAGACTGATCAATTACAGTCCTAAACAACAACGAGAAGATTCAAGTAAACAATATCAAGTAGATTTAAACTTCGTCCCATTCCGCAAGCAAGTGGCTATTAGGGACTCAGTAGCTAAGTGGATAATGTCATGGAGTTTGAAGCAAACGGTACTTGTTTCAAGTCCCAGGGTGAACATCATCTGTGAGATGCAGGTACATCTAGCTGGCGAATCCCAAATAAGACGAAACGCACGTCCCCGATTCCACTATTAGCCACTAATCATGTTTACTTAAAAAGATTGTGACTTAAGGCTTTATCGAGGCAATCCGCACAGGATGCACATATGGCAACAAGAGGTTATCTATCTATCTATATATATATATATATATATATATATATATATATATATATATATATATATATATCGGTTATAATTTGTAAGAAGTTTCTGACGGCACACTCCCCCCACTTTCACATCCGACATTACTAACTACGGTCAACATACAATCTTCACAATCCATATGAACCAAATAACAAATCAAATATGATCAAAATCTTACTTTCGAAATAGACAACCTCGATCAATAAACATTTTCACAATTTCTATATGTCCATGTTCAACTGCAACATGAAGTGGTAAACGTCCAACAGCATCTGGACAATTCATTGCTCTCATACCATGTGATGTAGCTAATAATTTTTCACATGTATGTAAACGACCATAATATGCAGCTGTATGTAATGATGTATTACGTTCATTATCACGTTCTAATGCAGAAGCACCACGTAGTACAAATTCTATTGTAGCACCTAAATTACCCATTTTAGTTGAATAATGTAATGGTGTTGTACCATATTTATCTTTTTCATTGACTAATCGTTTAAATAATTCCTCCTATTCAATAATTAACAAAGACATAAAGTTAAATAGGAATTACTGAAGTATCCATCTTCATATTATCTAATATATTAACCCTTTAATTATTATGTATGCTAAAATTCAACCTAATTGAAGCGAATGAAACTTAAGTAAGGACAATGAATTTAATGTTTAATGTTAATTAAAGAGTTGATAGGTGAAAAATTATACATTAGATACTTCATTTGAAAATCTTCGTTTAATTGTTTCAACTTTCATTGTTCCTTCATTGTTATTAGAAACTACTCTCTGTTTACATTCTTTTTTTTTCTTCATTAATTCGATCTTCTCAACCATCTGCTGACAGGTATTTCACTTATGATTAGTGTTACGTACTACTTAAGCCTGTAGACATAAGTAGCATACACCATACTGGTCCCCCTTTTAAACGGTCGATCATGAAGTTGTTGTGCTCGCCGTGCCACCTTCCTCTTTCCTGAAGTTTGTGCCATGCTGCCAGTCAAAATGTCGAGTCCACCTGCACGCTGACTTCCGTAGTAATGTAGACCTGCAGAGCCATCAAAATCTGATATCTGTCCAGCACTCGGGACGTCTAACGCCTGGTCCTCGGAAATCTACTGAGCCATCTACCTCTGATGCCTACGCAGCAGCCACATATTCCTCTACTCCTCTCCGTCAACAGCAGTTGATACAGCCAACGACGTCCCACTTGAACATTCCACCTGACATAAGTGGCATACACCATATAGTAAGTAATAAAACCCACTGAACTGTAGAAGCTATTTTATCCCAGTTTAAGAGTGATTATCAGTATACAACCGAAACTCTTCATGAGCGTTAACGCGTGGGGCCGAAGGTCGTGGGTTTGAGTCGCGAGAGCGACGTCGTTCATATGCATAGCTCAGGAGTACCATATTAGGACGAAACAATCGTCCAGTAATTCCAGGTTTTCCATAGTGGTCTGTCTTTAATTAACTCATGAATTCAACTATAAAACTGCATATATTTTATATATATAGTCATTAACTTACATCATTCACCTCTGGTAGGACTGTCCTGATTCCTGGACCTTGAAATAACATCAATAAGTGAACTAAATTACGATTACTGGAATCATGTGCATTGGGATTTGCTCCAAGACGAAGTAATTGAATACATGTTTGAAAAGCTCCTTTCATAGCAGCTAATAATAATGGTGTCCATCCATTTGTTTCAGTCATTTCTAAAGGCGAACCCTATTTTTTATTTATTATAAAGATGTAACAGAACAAAGAAGTAAAGTTTAGAGTAAAAAAAATCAATTTTGGTCTCTTGCTCAAATCACAATACCTTTACAAAACATGATAATTAAATACCAAGATTGATTAGAACATTTTGGAGTCGTACTGTTTCGAAGAACAAATACAAATTAAGTTGTTGAACTCATGGGTCAATTGAAACTAGACCATCATGGAAAACGTGAAAGAATTGGAGGGCCGTTTCGTCTTAATATTAAACTCATCGGCATTGCACATCCACGATTCCGCCTCGTCAGATTCGAACCTAAATTAGACAAATTAGACAATCAAATAGAATATGTACACTTTATTGTCAGATTCTAGAACCACCTACTATGGATTTGTAAAATCAAAAACCATACTGACAAATTTTATAAAAGTTCAAGTCGTCAATAAGATTTAGATTTGTTCTTTGGGGACAAATACCTAGAGTTGTGTATTCATCTTTTACTACAATACGTCAATATGTGTTTGATCTTCTTTTGATTGAGTGAACAAACGCTTAGACACTAGGGTGAGACTATAAGTTGTAGACCACCTTTGAGCGACTCCGCAGTGACCTTGAGAATGTTCACCTACTAACGAGGACCGAATGGGGGTTATAAACCAGGGTGAGGGACTAGAATTATGATTTACAGTTGATGATTAGGGTTAGGGTTTAGATTTATGCTTTTGATCAAGAACTGATATCAGTTATAATGCCAAAACGCTATTTAGCCAAATCAGTAAATGAATTTCGCGCTAAAATTCAAGATTCATTATCTTATATCTGGTTGGTTCATCCATAAATTATAGTCTTGCTGACATTAATTTTTTTCAGTATTCATTTCTAAAAATCAATTTATCAGTTTGAGAATTGTCAAATCAGAAGGATACAATTCACTTTTAACATATGAACTCATGAATTATACCCTTTGTATTATTCCGATCTAGATGGTCTCTGTGAATAGTCTTTCGATTTAAATACATATGTTAAAGCAAAGTCATAAAGATGTCGATATCTGTCTCGTATTACGAAGTGCTAGTAAGTAACATTGTTGAGGATGTTAGATCCCTAGAAATCACTTGGAAAATAGCTTATTTTTGTAATTTTATTTTGAAACTTTGAATTTCTTTGTTTTTGCGTCAAAAGCGCTCTTGTCACCTTCATGTCGTATTCTCCACTTGGGAGAATCTTAAATGCTATTGGTTTATTGTATCTTTTAGTATTTTATTTAGTAACGCTTCCCAAGGACGGTTTTGTGCTGTATATATACGTTTGATTTCTGTCTATCGTGGTTACTCGTCCGTCTGACTACTTGCAGAATATATTTCCCCATTTCGAACTTAGATTTCTCTTTCTAGTTAGCGGAGTTGAGACATATCAGAATAGCTAGTTTATTGGGCTTTTTTTTCACAAGTCTTTGTTCCATTCGCAGACTAAGTGAACTCATAATCACTTCAAACCTGGCAATCATTTTCATAAGCTCTTGGTTAAAGCATGAATTATTCTTTCGTTTGAAAACTTACGACAACAAATATCTGTCTGAAAATATATTCCAATTTACTACTTCATTTAGATATGGGAAATGACAGTTATTGCAAATTGATACCGATAATCTGAAACCCTGAAGGAATTATGTCATTTAGTGTAGTTTGGTAGAAGAGGTCTACGGTTGGAGAACGAATAAGGGTCTGAAAAATCTTATATCCATGATAAATTACTACACTATGTTGAATGATACTAATAATTCCATAATGACGAGTAAAATATATAAAAATTATTTACTTTTCATAAATAGTTATATTTATGAGTCGACCTAAGCTAGACCATCATTGAAAACCTAGAAGTACTGGATGGCCATTTCATGCTAGTAGGAGATTCCTCATCGATGCGCATCCACGACTCCGCACTTTGGACTCGATTTCACGAACGAATGCATAACCTCTAAACCACTGAGCTAGCATCCAACTACTTTAATGTCTGACTTCAATCAATCCATGATTATGCACAACCATTCATCCATTGTCTGAAGTGAATACTAGTCTAAACTAGACACAGATTGGATTCTACTGGTCATGGCTTTTTACTAGAACTTTAGATAATCATTCCTGAAGCTAGTCAAATGATTGTTATCAGAAATAAGGATCGTGGATGCGCGCTGCTCAGGAGTTTCATATTAGGATGAAACGACCGTCCACTGCATCTAGGTTTTTCATGGTGGTCTAGCTTAGATTGACTCATGAACTAACCCATTAAAATTACTATAATCTTCACAAAACCTCTTTTGATAATAATCATCATATGCTCACTAGTGACTGGTCTCCAAGAGGTATTTTCTGGAATTCTAGTGAGGACCAGTGACCAATGGAGTTCAACTAGATCTATTGTGAAATAGTAACTCACTGAAGATAATGGTGGTCGGTGGCTCAATTTCATAGATTGGTTGAAGTTAGACTATAACACCGTTGAACACCGGTTTAGTGGTTTAGATGTGAAGCGTTCATGTGTGAGACTGTTATGTCTTGAGTTCGAATCTCGTGGGGTTGGATCGTTGATGAGTACTGCTCAAGTTTTCAATGATGGTTTAGTTTAGATTAACTCAACTCCCCATTTTTTTGTTTTATAAATAACATACCTGTTCAACTAAATATGTAACCAGTTTTTCATGATTATAAACAGCGGCTAAATGTAATGGTGTATAACCATTTTTATCTTGCATTTGTAGAACAATTGATTTAATTGATGGATCCGCTTCAAACATTAATTGAACACATTCTAAATCATCTTTCATACATGCATAATGTACCGGTGTTGAATCATCATTTTGTTTAGCTAATATAAATGCATTGTGCTCTAAACAAAACTAATAATAATTTGAAGAAGAAAAAAAAAGAAAGAAATTTGTCAATACCCTCCGACTTCACTGAAGAGAAACAGACAAGAAGAACAAGTAAATTTCCTACAAACAGAAGGCATCAAGTTTACTTACTTACTTACTTACTTAGTCCTGTCATTCCCAGGGAATCATAGGCGGTTGCCCACCAGCATTCCCCAACTCACTCGAGACATCAATTGTTAGAAAATTTAATAGTTGAATCCATGATTCAATTGAAACTAGACCACCATGGTAAACTCGGAAGCACATATATTTTACGTATATAGTAGTATCAAGTGAGCTATAAACAGGGAGAATTCAAAGCATAATTCTGTTTAATTGCTTTCATTGTAGCACAGGAGTTGGCTCTATGTCAAGCCTAAATAGGTTGTTCTACTTTCTGGAAAGATCAATCTACTCATTCTTCTGAAGTCACATTTTTATCCTGCCACTTATTCGCTTATTTATCTTGACTGTCATATGTATGTAGCTTATCTTTGTCTGACTGGATAAGATATTCGTTCTCATATTTGACTTCCTTAATTGTGTTATTCACTAATGCAATTTCAGTCTATGCTTATATACAAAACGATAGCTAAGATGATATATATTCCGATAGTAACCATCCTATACAATAATAACATAACTGGTCAGTATATATATTAAGCTTACTTTAACCATATCTGAATTCCCTGATGTAACTGCTGCATGTAATGGAGTTTCACCTTCACAATCAGTTAAATGAATTAAACAATTCTCTTGTTGACTTCGTTGATAATCAGATTGATTTAAATCGATCGATTTCTTTTTTATATCAGATTGATTAAATTGACTTTGATTTTCTAAATCATATTTCACTATGTGTTTATTATTATTATTATTATTATTACGTAATACATGGGTACGTTGTGTTGCCATAGTGATCGATGATTTCATTTCATGTGATTCTATTGATCGATTTAAATTGTTCCCTTGTAAATAAGCTTCCATTTTAAATAATAAATTTAAACATTTACGACTAACATTAGCTATAGCAACATGTACCGGATAGGTATGCTCTAAATCATATGAGAATATATTAGCCCCTTTGTTTAACTATAAAGAATAATAAAGAATTCATAATAATAATAATCATAATAATGAATATGATAACATTCAGTTTTATTGAAAGAATCTTAAAGGTAACCTATTGAAAGTTGCATCTAATCAATATTGTTTCCTGATTTCAGAAATTGATGCTAATATGGAGTGTGCTACTGATATCGATTGATATAAGTAGTATATATCATCTGTCGAGATTAAAACACTTAGCAACAGAAAGTTAAGAAGATCGGAGAGAAAAGAATGGGAACAAAGAAATCAATGAAATCTGAGACGATTGATTGACATCTTCCAAATGAATTATCTACTGTATAATTCTCGGAATTTTGATAAGATGTTCTATAATTGTGTGTTCAAATACATTCGATTGTCACCCCCCACTTGTGTTCTCATTCACTACATTAAATGTATAAGAACTGAAGTATTCTGTGTTAGAATCGAATAGTTGACATTGCAGTGAAAATAATATGAAAGTAGTATAGTGACAAGTTGTGTGTTTTTCAGGCTAAAAATCGTTAGTAATAAAGGTCTTAATAATGTATTAAATGGTGAAATTTGATTGGAGATTCAATTCTCATTTTCGATTAGATCCTCATCAGGTTTCAACCTAATATACAGTAATATTAATATGTCTATCGTATTCGATCTGATCTATGATGATTCCTCAACTAAAGGATAAGTTACCTGGTTCTGCCAATATCAATGTGTATCTACGAATTCAGATGATCCTGTGGAGAAAGCGATATCGGGACCACTACCAGACTACTGAACCAAAGAGTTAGTGAACACTTCCCTTCGTGGTTAGGAAAAGTTACTGTCAAAACAATAAGCAGCTCGGTTCTATCACAATTGATCGATAGCGGTCATGTAGTAGACAGAAATAAGTCATTTAAAGCTATTTATCGTATTGCTGCTAGTTTTCCTTATGATGTTCGATTTCGTCTCTTACACATGTCAGAAGCTATAGCTAATTCGAGCCAACAATACTCATTTTGACATGACATTTTAGAAAGTTCTAAACGTTCACTATAATGGCAGCTATAACTGAGTTTGAACTATCCAAATTGTCAACCTATTTGATATCGGACTATCGATGGGACCTTATACATTCGCTTTACCTATTGCGAGACAAGTCAGCCAAACAAATCCACTTCTTAGTATTGATGACTAACTATCAAACTATTAGAGGACTCAACCTCTTAAAAAATATGCAAACAAAAAGCAGTAACTCGATTGAGGGCTACAGTTAATGATTATCTAATGTCAGATGGCGGTTGGTGGTAGTTGACAAGAAACCCTGTATATAGGTTTTCTGCCGCCTGCCACTAGCCAGCAAAGGTATACTTGTAATGCTGGGAGAACTGATGCTTCAAGGAGGATTAGATCCAATTTTATGCAGCTTCATAGTCAAAGATGTCATTGAACTATTCAGGCTACTATTAACGTCTTGTAGGACTGAATATACTTATAATTGACGTATGTCATGTATATCTGGTCCTTCTTAGCACTCAGTGGTAATGTATCTGACTGTGAAGTTGAGTTTTCTGCAGTTTACGTCCAACCACTACGTCACATTTCAACGTAGTAATAGTAATAGTTAAGCATTAAGTAGATTGTTGTGAATAATAATAATAATTGCATTAGTCTAATCATGATATCCCTGAAACTTTGCTTAAATTCAATCTTATTTACTTTTATCAGAAGAGGTTTTGTAGAGATTTTTACACATTTCACTAGTTGAAACATGAGTCAATTGAAGCTAAACCATCATGGAAAACCTGGAAGCACTAGAAGGCCGTTTCGTTCTAGTATGGGACTCCTCAGCAGTGCGCATCCACGATCTTGCCCGGCGAGATTCGATCCCATTAGGCCACTGCTGAAGAGTCCCATGCTAGGACGGAACGGCCGTCCAGTGCTTCCAGGTTTTCTATGGTGGTCTAGCTTCAACGGATTCATGATTTCAACTAGTGTTATTTACTTTTAACAGGACATTTTATAAACAAACCAACGGAGTGGCAATGGGATCGCCCATGTCCCCGATAGTAACCAATCTAGTTATGGACACATAGGATGGCAATTTAGTTTTACGTCCATGGTATAACAGAATTCTTAAAACAACACAGAATTAAAGTTTATTAGAAAACAACAAACACCCTTCGAAATACTTTACTTCGCTTACAAGAAAAACTCCGGTTTATGTCAACACAGAACTGTGTCTACAAATTACGATGTGTCGACTGTAATGCCTTCTATATTGGAGAGTCATCTCGTGAAATCTTGACTCGAGCCAAATAAAATCTTAGGTACACAACGAAACTACCTAATAATCCTGTAAAACTGAATAGACTTCAAATTAAATTGACAACAGCAGTTCACACCATTGTCAACAACTATCAAATCGATATCAAAAACATCAAACTAATACAAAAAGGCATTTCTAACTACAAAGAAAGAAGAGTAGCTGAAGTGATCCATATAATGCTTAATCATACTGCCCTCATTAGAAAAAGAGGCCTCTTTATTCATCCGATTTGGACTATCTATCCAAGCTTATATGTCTGATTCTATTCACATTTCACATTTTTAGCGGATATACAAATTAAACTCTATGCTTTCTCAATACAAAGGTTACACATTTTTTGATCCATGACCCAGCAAACATACATACACACACACCCCTACAAACTTACATACATGTCACTTGGATTGATTTCGGTTTGGTTATTTATTCTCTGAAGAAGTGGCTTACATTGAGTCACGAAACCTTGGTAAATCTACATTTTTTACTCATTGAGTTCAGAAAACTATTAGTTTCCAACACTTCTCACATTTAGTTTCATTATCAAAACGGTACTATGTGGTTCTGAATGATTGAAGTGAATTTGTTTGACAAAACAACAACAATAAGAAGGTCTTGAACTCACAAGTATCTCCATACATTCCACACTGTCATGTATACAACAATAATGTAATGGTGATGCTCCTCGTTCACCTTCTGCATTTACATTAACACTATCCAATTCTAATAATGCCTAAAAAATAATAATAACGAATTACCTATTGTTAATCATCTCATTGTTTATCATTAGATTATAGTGATGCTAAAATTTTATTTATAACCAATTTCTAAAGTAGTATGTTCATTCAATTATTATTTATTGGGTTTCAATTGTACTGTCAAAAATGCTCACTACTGACTGACTCTAGGATGTTTTCCTGAAGTTCTAGTGAAAAACCGTGACTAGTAGAGTTTAATCTGTGTCGAATAGAGATAGGTATCTACCTTAAACAATGAATGAATGGTTGTGTAGCCATACAAGGCTCAATGGAAGTTAGATATTAACAGCGTTGGATGTCAGCTCAGTGGTATAGAAGTTAAGTGTTCGCACGCAAGACCGAAGGTCCTGGGTTCGAATTATGAGTGTAGGATCGTGGATGAACAATGCTGAGGAGTCTCATACTGGAAAGAAACAGCCGTCCAGTGCTCTCAGGTCTCTAATGGTGGTCTAACATCAATCGGCTCATGACCTCATATGAATGACTTTAATATAAATAATAGTGTAGTGGGTGTATACTCAGATACGTTAAACCAATATACTACTCAATGAAGAAAATGCACAGTGACTTTGTCAAATATGATTTTCATATTTTGAAAACATTATTTGCATATTTTCCTTGAATTAACCTTTACATACTTCATCATTCTTCCAATTCTGTAGTTGTTCTTCCGATTTTTGTCTGTTTTTCTCCCTCTTCTGTTCATTTCAATCTTCTGCTGATAAGCATTTTACCTGCAATTCCTAATACATACTACTTATATCTGTGCGCATAAGTAGTATACATGACAATAGTTCGGAAAACTGTCATTGTAAAATTAACCAAAATCGATGATAATTACTCATTTTAAGGCATAAGAATACAATGAAAACATCAAGTAATATGTAAATTCTGTGATTTCAAAGGTTTATGTTTAGACAAAGTCATCTCTCTGTAATTTTATAATTGAATTCATAAGTCAATTAAGGCTAGACCATCATAGAAAATCTGGAGGCACTAAACAGCCATTTCATCCTACTATGGGACTATTAAGCACAACACATCCATTATATCGCTCACGGGATTCTAACCCACGACCTGTCAGTCTCGCGTGGAAAACATAAACTCTAGACAACTGAGGAGTCCCGCACTAGGACGAAATGGACGTCCAGTGCTTCCAGGTTTTCTATGGTGATCTAGCCTAAATTCTTTTAAGTAATCCCACTGACCTTCTACAAATCGATTACAGCATTTCAAAGAAGTCAAGAAGATTTTCAAAGAACCATTAATTAAATATTCCATGATCATCTTTTATTTCTACATCAGTCATTTATTCCTCTTACTAATCAAATCCATCAAGGTTAGTTCTATACTACACGACCACCCTTTCGATTTATTGATCGGTTTAGTAGTTATTCGAAGAAAATTTGTAGTGCTATTGGACCTTAACCACATACTCCTCAAAGCTAAACACGAGGCGACTGAAAATAATAGATATTCAATATTTAGCGCGGAGAAAAACTCAACAATGATGAAAGCGGGAAGACTTAATTTAATCGGATAGCATGACTCACCTTTACAGGCGTGGTCATTCCGTATAATTTATTTTTACTTATATTAATTATATTGTATTATCTCCAGCCTGAATATGTTCCGATACGATGAGTTAGTGTAGACAATGATGTGACTTACATGTAAGATTAACCAGTTACAATATGACAAATCTACAATGTTAGGATTAGGTCTATTATCACAGCAGTACTAATAATGAAGTAGACCATAAATCAACACATTTCCATCTTTGTATTCTGATTGTATATAAAGTTCATGATCAAATTAGTTGTTTGTTTTGATTATTCATTAAGCTTCATTTTCATTTCTGGATTATTTTGAACCTTTTCAGTTAACCGATCACAAACAAGTTAATCAAAACAAGATAATTCAGCGCTTGTATAACACCCCTAAGAACTTTACATGTACATATAAATTAAGTGTGGATGATGTTGTCCAGATAGACAATGAATAATTCACAATTAAATTGTTCAATACAGAAAACACTAAGTTCATAACCTTGTCATTTAGGTATATCAACACCATTATCATTCAACCACAAACATTGACGAAATAGTTCATGTGAACATTATGATTCTAGAGTGAATCTACATGTGAAATTCTAATGAAACATATGAGTTACATATTCCATGGAAGAAAGTTAATTCAGTTAGAACATTCTAAATGATGGTAACTAAGTAAAGATGTAACGTCAATTATCAACACCATCCCCTCCGCACGCACAGACACACACACACTTACGTACATATACATTCTGAACAATTTACCTTTAATATATCGAAATAATTTTTTTCACATGCTATATGTATTGGTAATAGACCATCTTTATTTGGTTTAGTTGGATCAGCATTAATACTTAATAGATAACGTACTACAAGTAAATGTCCTTCTTTAACAGCTAAATGTATTGGAAGATTACCATATTGATCTGGTTCATTAATCCCTATTTAAATAAAAGGATTTTTAAAAAATACAGAGAGTAAATATTGACAAATGGATAAAATCACAATGATAAGTAGTTCATCCGAATCTGTTGTGAGATAGTAACTTACTGAAAACAATGGTGGATATGTCGTTCAGTTTAGGATATGAGTTGAAGTTAGACATTAACACCATTGGATACCGGCCAGATCATTGGTCTAGAGGTTAAGCGTTTTTCAGCGAGACCGGTAGTTCCTGGGTTTGGATATCGCGAAGTGGGATCTTGGATGCACATTTCTGAGGAGTCCCACAATAGGACGAAACAGCTGACCAGTGCTTTCAGATTTTTTATGGTCGTCTAGCTTCGAGTGAATCATGATCTCAATTATCGAAATAAATAATTCACTTGGTATTATTTGATTGCATCTTCTTATTGTTTTTAGGGACTACAATTGATCAGTCTCTTGTAGGCATATGTACATCCTGTACGTATTTCCTCAATATTGTCTTCAGTAACAAGCATTATAAGCAAAGATGTATAGTGGCTATTAGTGGAATCCATGACGTGCGTTTCGTCCTATTTAGGACTCGTCAGCCTGATGTACCAAAATCTCAGAGTTCATGTTCACTCTAGAAACCCAACCCAATACCGTTCTCTTCAAACGCCATCGCGTTATCCACTCAGCTACCGAGTTCCTGATAACCACTTACTTGTACAATGGGTTGAAGTTTAATTCATTTTTTGTATTAATTGTTTGTAATATTGAGGCAATTCGAACAAGATTCACATATACCAATAAGAGACTGATCAATTCAATTACAGTTCTAAACTTCAATACGAAGATTCAAACAACCAACACAAAAATGAAGTAATATCAATTATTGGAACTGCCTTTAGAACAAATCATAAAACTCGTAATACACTGGATAATAGACAATGCTCTGACTACTACAACCATAGTCGTTGACATCGTTTACAAGGACAATGATATCAGAACTGTGTATATACACCACCTAAATATGAATATAATTTGAATATTTCAGCTAATAATAAAAGATCAATTCTAAACAGGAACATTATCGTTAACATCAAGAAGATAGAAATCTCATGACTGAAATGAATGCTGAAGTCTTTAACTCTCTATTTAACATAAAGAAACTAATAAGAGTTTAAAAGATATTGAAATCTTTGAAAAAAGTGTTTTGACATTCCACTAATGAAACTTTTATTTAGATCCGTCTATGTCTTCATAGGTTATATATGTAATATACCCTTGTGGGTTAAGGCAGTTTTTCATTGGTTTTCAGGAGAACCGGACATGATCCAGACTTTCACGTGACAACCCAAACAGTACAGCTCAATCCTGATTCACAGGAGAACCAGACACCATATAGGCTTTAACGCTACAATCGGATTAGTACAGCTCAATCCTGTGGTGGAGCCACACAGGTAACAAACACCCTGGTTCACTATTCGCACCATTCATATAAACATTTACACCACATGTGTAATTATTCCGATTACTGATCTCGTAAATCCCTTATGCACAGCATGAATAGGCCAAAACTGACCAATTCCGATTACACGATAGTCAAACTCATTAATGTTAGCAATGGTGACATGCCTTAAAATGTCCCAATGACAATGGCCCTTGAGAACACTGAAAAACAACTACCAGTATGAATGAAATCGGTTAACCAACAAACCAATTTTGTGCATGAACAATCAGCAAAACTTGCCAAAGCAAAACCGAGTCATCCACAACATCAATGGCGAACCTCCTATCTCATATAAGACCTTCAGCTTCATTGGGGTCAACTTTAAAGTGATTACAAATGATTCTCGTAAATTGTATGACTGTATGTTTCTATTATTATTATTATCAGCACAACTATAAAGCTATTCTCACCGAAATTCGACTTTCGAATATCTATTACCAGTTGAATTATATTACTTATAGTCGGATTACTTTAAGTCTTAATTAAAGAGTGTACTTTGATAGTGACTGATTAACGACAGTGATTGTTTAGAGATCACTAACAGACAACAGTTTTTTTGTTATCTGTAAGTTGTCCAGGCGAGACTGTAATTTATGGACGAATCAATCAGATTTAAGAAAAGAGGTCTTGGATTTCGGCGCGAAATTCATTCATTCATTTGTCTAAGTAGCTTCTTGTCATTATAACTGATGTCAGTTAGTGATGAAAACCCGAAATCTCATTTCCAACCTTAACCATCAACTGTAAATCACAATCTTTATCATTCATATTGACTTAAAACCCTCACATATCCCTAGTCAGTTGGTGGATATTCTTAAGGGCACTATGGCATCATCACTCAATGGTCCTCCATAAATGATAGTCTCACCGTTGTCCACATAGTACTTGTGTAAAGAAATGTATTACATAATTATTACACTTACTTGCTTTATGTGCAACTAAAACACTTGTACAATCCAAATAACCTTTCATTGCAGCATAATGAAGTAAAGTACGTTGATTTGAGTCACATTGATTTATTATTAATGGATTGTAAGCTAAGATTTCAACGAGTCTTTCTGTTTCATTTGCTTTAACATACTTCATTAAAGAAGAAAGAAAATAGGAATTATAATTAAAATATAATTCAATTCATACATATATATATATACATTTCTATATAGGGTATGGTATATGCTACTGATATCGACAAATATAAGTAGTATGTATCATCAGTCGAAAGTGAAATGTTTAAAGGTAGGATGTCAAGAAGATCGAAGAAAAGAGAACAAGAACAAGGGAATGATTGGTGTAGAAACGAAAGAACAATGAAGTCTGAGACGATTGATTGACATTTTGCCGGAGGAAGTATTTACTAAATGATTCTCAGATTTTACTAAGCTGTTCTGTAATTGTATGCTCAAATACATTCGATTGTCCGCAATTATGTGTTCTCATTCACTACAAGGATATTTGTTGCCGAACTGGTCTCCGACAGCATTTAAAGTCATAGGAAGATGAACAATCGTTTCGTTTTAGTGTAGTACCCTTCAGTAGACTATAATGAGTGTTTAATGCTTTCCTCTACACATGAAAATAACCTAACCAAAACTATTTCATTGAAAGGATAAACACAGGGTAATTTAATGACATAATTATTCAAATTAGTGTTTATAGATTGTTCTAGAAATTTCTTGTACTGAATGTTTGTACCCAGAAATATTTGTCAAATCAGTAAATTGAATATGAAGAGATATGACAATGAAGTGTTTTGAGAAAATCATCTGTATAACTGAATATTCCATTGAAGGGAGTCTTCTTGTCAACTAAACGTAAAAAAAAAAAACATAAATCGTCCCAATCTAAATTGTATTCAATAGAATTTCTCCAGTTAAACTACTAGAGCTGCAACTACAATACCTTTAATGTAGTCTACATAGTAGACAAATCAATAATGATCTAGTTTAGGTACTTGTAACTGAGGATTAAATACTTTTTTTTTTATTGAATTATTGACTATTAGGTAATTGAAATTGAACCTGCTATCTTAAGGTGGAGGTCGTTCCAAGATGAGACTATAATTCATGGACGATCATTGAGCAACACTAGACTAACTTTGAGAGTGTCCACTTAATAAATGTGGATTATAAACATGTGTGTGAGGTATTATTATTATGATTTACAATTAATGATTAAGATTAAAAATTAGATTGAAGGTTTTCATCATGAATTGACATCAGCTAAAATGAGTGAGTTTCGCGCCAAAATCCAAGACTTGATATCCTCAATCTGATTGGTTCATTCATAAATGATAGTCTAGCTTTAATCTCAAACTAAGATCGAACGATTAATTCAATGTAAATTGATAATATTCACTTTTAGTTTGTATAAGAGAATTTCCAGTATTATAAGTAACCTTTCAAACATCTTTAATTGTACATATCCCATATGACTATGCATAAAATCATTAAGAATAGGATTATATTAGGTATGGTGGAGAAGATTTGTAGGTCAGATGGATGATTTCCAAATGTTCTGATGTCAGTGTCTTTTGTAGCTTCATCTTTCGGTCCTCTATGACGTGTTGGTATTTGCAGATCCTGTAGTATGTATTCGTTATCATTAGGTGTACCATTTTTTCTTCCAGTTTGCTCAGGTATTTTCTATCCTAATAGGTAGTTGATTGGAAGTCTATATCTTACACTTGTTGGTAGAATATGCTGGTGAAGACACTCATGGAGAAAATATAGTTGTTCTTGAGTGGAAGCCTGCCTTTTGCCATTTTCGAACAACGAGAAGCGTATTACACTCATATGATTTTGTTGTAACGTATGGACTGCAGGTTTTGATAAGCAGCGTTTTGATCGATCGATTATAGTGACACGAAAAACACGTATGGACGACCTAGAGTCCCGATTGGCCCTGCTTCGCTGTCTAACCCAGCCAGTTGAGTCCAGAACACAAGTCACAGCCTCTGAGATATGAATCGTTATATTTCAAACATACTCTATTTATATACCAACCAAACAGACCACATCGTACCATAAAAATAGAAAACAACATTTGTACAATATTTAACAAGTGAAATAAATAATCGCAAATAGGGAGTGTACATTTAACGTCCAAGGACACCATTAGACTTGACACGATAATTATTGGTATATTCCTCTGCATACCTAACAGATTTTCAGATGGTGTCGTTCAGAAGAACGATGAAAGCTCCACGACCAAACCATCCAACTCAGAGAACAAACTCCATCAAAATTATATTAGGTATGTATATTATTTGGTGACTTATACTTATTCTGTCCATTTCTAATGCCAAATCCAGACTACATTACATATCGATGATGTTATTATTATAACTTGTACCCTATTCATATATATAACGTAATGATACCATCAGTTAGAGAACAGTGATTTATCTACCAAACCAATAACGTGTAAACCTGTACGAGCAGTCTAAACTCCTTATTGGTCCTTCTTCTTGCCTAATTCTGCCTGCTTATTGAGTTCAGAATACCAATCAGAATCTCCACAAGATGAATCATATATCGTACTATAAAATAGGGAACAACATTTGTACAAGATTTAGCCAAATGTGGATATGAATATAAGAGATAGTCATTGATGTCTGGATTCAATAGAAAACTTATCAATGTTTCATTCTATGAGGACGATCCACAAGTGAGATTAGATGGGAGCTGGAAGTAGTCGATAGGAAACCGTGGACTCGGCTTTCGTGCTACTTGGCACGAGTCAGCAAGGTGTACCTGTAATCTTGAGGGAACTGTTGCCCTTTGACGGATTCGCTCCCGTGTTACCCAGCTTCACAGTCAGAGACGTTACCACTAAGCTATCCGGGCCGCGACCAACCACCATCTAATCTCACAATAGTGCACGCAGTGTCGAGTCACCTAGACTGCAGGCCACATTGCACCATGGTCGATAGCATTCGATCTGCATTAATAAGGACCTGACACACATGAAATTGGTCACTACCCAGTGATCAGTCAATTGTGATCCAAAGAAGCTCTAGGAAGCTTAAAAAGAGCCGAAAAACACTCTATCCAATCATCTTTTAAAAGAATATTCTAAAATTTCTATATATAGTTTTTCTTGTTAGACAAATGCTCAAAAATTCGCTATACAAAGATTGAATAGAATATTTTTAGCTCTTTCTAATCTTCTTAGAGCTTCCTCGAATTCATCTATAAGCCATCATTATACATTCATTATCACTAATTACATATATAAATAATGGGTTGGTTGAGGCTACACATTAACACCGTTGGATGGCAGCTCAGTGATCTAGTTGGTTAAGCGCCCGGTGCGAGACTGATAGGTCCTGGGCTCTAGCCTCGGAGGGTGCGGGATCGTAGATGATCACTGCTGAGGAGTCCCACAATAGGACAAAACGGTCGTCCAGTACTTCCAAGTTTCCCGTGGTGATCTTGCCTCAATTGACTCATGTTTTCGATCAAAAACTTAACAATCTCCACAACCCCTAAACTGATAATTACCATGTGGTCACTAGTGACCAGCTTGGTGAGAAAATTCTCGGAGTTCTGGTGAGAAGCCTTGACCAGTGGAACTAATCCGTGTTGGGTAGAAACACGTGTCTACCTCATTACAGTGGAAGATGGTCGCGCAATTTCGTGGATTGGTTGAGGTTAGATATTTGCACCATCTAATGACGGCCGGCTCAATGGCCTAAGGGTTAGGCGCTCGCGCGCGTTCCCGAAGATCCTGGGTTTGAATCCCGCAGGGTGTGAGATCGTGGATGCGCACTGTTGAGGAGTCACATACTAGGATGGAACAGTCGTCTAGTACTTCCAAGTTTCCCATAGTGATCTAGCTTCAATTGACTCATGATTTCAATAAAAAAAAATTATTAATAATAATCAACTTACATTAAATATAAGATTTGGATTCTCTAATATTTCACCACGATTTGTTAAATGAATTAAATTTTCTTCTGGATTTATTTTATTATTTCTACATTTTCGATGATAATTGTTACCATGGCAACAACAATAAATTTTATGCGATGAATTCATTTTATATTTTATTTGATTTAATTTTTTCGATGTTTCTTCTGTTAATAATTGTGCTTCATTAAGACTTAATTCATAATTATTTATATTTTCATTAAATGAATATAATTTAGATGATTTACGTGAATTACATAATGGTAATATTGTAGTAGTAGTAGTAGTAGTAGTAGTAGTAGTATCTAAGTGATGAATAATGTTTTGTTCATTTGAATTCATGCCTTGGATACTATTACGATGCAAATATTTATTATTGATTATATTTAAATGAGATATTGATTGATGTTCCAAATGTTTTGCCTTAATTACATTAATATCAGGTATTGAATTATTATTGGAATGATATGAACTATATGAGTGGTGGAGGGGAGAAGGAGAAGGGGGAAGGAAATGAGGGGAAATTCGAATTAGGAAATAAATAACTATGATGCATTATGATTTATTTGAATAAATAAAAACAATTTTTTTTAAAAAAAAGAATTGTTACTTCATTTGACCATGTTTTTTAATTAATTAGTGGTTAAATGCTGACGCTCGACACCAGTAGGTCCTGGGTTCGAGTCTCGCAGGGGGCGAGGTTGTGGATGCGCAGTGCTAAGGAGTCACACAATAGGACGAAACGGCTGTCCAGTGCTTACAGATTTTCCATGATCGTCTAGCTTCAACTGACTCATGATCTTAACCATTGAAATTACTACAATCTCCACAACACCTATCTGATATTAATCAGTCATTTATTTATTTGAACACATAAATAGGTGGTTTTCTTAGGGATCCACATCTGGAGCCTTGAAGCTCAAGGTTTGATCCAAAAGGCGATGGAGCAACATCAGAAGATACAGTCTCATGGTAGTCGGTGAAAAATAATTGATTCATACACCGTTTATCCTCACAGAATCCTTGAACCCATGTACATCATTGGTTTAGAATCAGGGCTTTTAACTCGTATAAGTGGATATTTCGTGTTCATCAAGCTGGTTAAAGCGCTGGACATTTGCTTTTCGTCCGCTCGATATCACAAACAACAGTAATACCGCGAGAAGATAATCAGTAGGAATTCACTGTTAGTGATTGTAAATCAGTTACCCATCAATGTTACTGGGAATTTGATTAGACATTATTATGAATGGAAAACTAATGACCAGTAGTAATCTGTAAAATCTTAATGAACGATCGTAAAACAAACTCATATTTAAAATCATGAATCTGAGAAATGAATTTTGCTGATCAATGTTTATATGTATGATCGTTGATACTAAATATTATTATATTAATCGAACGAACGTCAAGGCAGTTCTACTGTATGGAGCTGAAACTTGAACAACTACTAAAACCATCATCAAGAATATACAAGTATTTATAAATAGTTGTCTACGTAGGATACTCAACATTCATTAACCGGATACAATCAGTAACAGCCTTCTGTGGGAGAGAACAAACCAACTTCCAGATGAAGAAGAAATGAGGAAAACACGATGGAAATGGATAGGATATACATTGACGAAATCACCAAACTGTATCACGAGGCAAGCCCTAACTTAGAATCATGAAGAGAAGTGAAAAACAAGAATACCAAAGAACACATTATATCAGAAAATAAAATTAGACGTGAAAAAGATGAATAACAACTGGACGGAGCTGGAAAGGATTGTCCAGGACAGGGTTGGATGGAGAATACTGTTAAGTGGCCTATGCTCCTTCACGAGGATTAACAGGCGTAAATAAGTAATAAAATAGAATAAATATGAAATACTTCATATAGAACTTACTTATACATCATTTTATTCCGAAATAATTAGAAATTTAATACATAAAACTACATTTATATACCTAAAGTTAATGAATAGTAGTATATTGTTTATTCTATTTAATATTAAACTTAAATAGAAATAATGCAGTTGATTTCCATTTATTTAATAAATAAATAAATAAGGATATGGTAATTGTTTTTATTTCCCTTTTTAGATTCATTTACTTATCTTAAGTGTTTATTCTAATTAAATGATATTTTATAGGAATGAACAATAGTGTCATTATTCTTTGTATTGTTACTTTCACAATGAAATATTTATCAATGGAATTCATCTTGGTCTTACTAATTACTGACAATAGATATTTATATGCATAGTTCTTTTAATTCTACATTAATTCATTAATATAATCTACTCTATTGAAAGATATGACCTGATAACTATTCTGCTTCTTCTATTTCTTCTTCTTCTTCTTCTTCTTCTTCTTCTTCTTCTTCTTCTCAATGATTATTATTCATTATATATTCATGTCAAATGATAAAAGTAATCTAAACATCTTATTTTAATGATAATAAACACTAAACATAATTGAACAATTAGTAATTATCATTGAATAATTAAGAAGAATTTATAAAATGTCATATGTAGTTTGTTAATTGACAAGATATTTTGTTTGATTATATTAAGATATCATTGAATATTTATTATGATGATGAATGAACGATCTGAGCTGTAAACTTTTAAGTAACATTTTATACTACTCATGAGTAGCCTGAGATATTAAGAATAATTTTTTGGTGAGGTAATAGAATTATGAGATGTTGGGGAATATTTGTAGCTCAAGTGAATGATTTGATAAAGTTTTGTTCTCTGAGTTGTTTAATTTGCCCATGAAGCTTTCATCATTTTTCTGAGCAACATCATTAGTACAAACGTCAGGGAGAAGTGCTGATGATATCGTTGAGAAGAACGATGAAAGCTTCACGATCAAACTCTACAGTTCAGTTAACAAATCTCCATCAAATAGGCAATAGAATAATTACAAAGATAAGTAATCACTTAATTCTTATTATCTATGAGATTATAAATGAAGAAGTGATAGATGAAAGATTTTGTTGGACACTTGATTTATATCATAAGTATTTATATCATAAGTAAGTTCAAAGATGAATAGTGGCTAGTAGTGGAATCGAGAACTCCGCCTGTAGCCCTTATAGGGTTACTGCCGGTCCCAAGCCCGGGTAAAGGAGGAGGGTTGGGCATGGGGTTAGCGTCCCCATCCCGTAGAAAACTAACTCGCTAAAAAAACGCTTACCAGAAAAAATAATCCAAACCATTTTAACTCTGCCCTGAAAGTTAGAAGGTCTTCATTTAGAAGAATTATGACGCTTCATGGTGAAAGCCGAGTTCCTTCGCAAGCCACGAGGCCGATGCCCCTTCTAACAACTAGAGCAAAAATTTTTATAGGTACATGGAACGTTCGAACAATGTGGGAAACCGGGAAGACCAGTCAAATATCAATGGAAATGAGGAGATACAACTTAGCAGTACTGGGAATCAGCGAAACGCACTGGACCCAAGCTGGACAGAAAAGGCTAGCTACGGGAGAGATGCTGCTATACTCCGGTCACGAAGAGGACAACGCTCCACACACTCAGGGAGTCGCTCTTATGCTGTCCAAAGTAGCACAAAATGCACTTGTAGGATGGGAATCTCACGGATCCAGAATCATCAAGGCATCATTGAAAACAAAGAAGGAGTTTTTTTTTTTTTTTTTTTTTTTTTTTTTTTTTTTTTTTTTTTTTTTTTTTTTTTTTTTTTTTTTTTTTTTTTTTTTCGGCTGCAGTCAATCATTGAGAAATGCCAAGGAAGGACCTAACTATTCTGATGGGAGATATAAATGCCAAAGTCGGAATAGACAACACTGGATATGAAGACATTATGGGACGACATGGACTGGGAGAAAGAAACGAAAATGGAGAAAGATTTGCAAATTTGTGTGCATTCAACAAATTAGTCATAGGAGGCACAATATTTCCACACAAGCGTATACACAAGGCTACATGGATCTCACCGGACCACACTACAGAGAACCAAATAGATCATATTTGCATCAACAAAAAATTCCGAAGGACAATGGAAGATGTGAGAACCAGGAGAGGTGCTGACGTAGCTTCAGATCACCACCTAGTTGTAGCCAATTTAAAACTGAAGCTGAAAAAGAACTGGACAAGTGGACAAACAGCACTACAAAGGTTCAATACAGCCTTCCTTCGAGATACTGACAAACTCAATGAATTCAAGATAGCTCTCAACAACAGGTTCCAAGCCTTACAAGATCTACTGAAGAAGAAGAAACTACTATGGAGGACAACTGGAAAGGCATCAAGGAAGCATTAACTTCAACGTGTCAAGAGGTTCTGGGCCTAAAGAAACACCATCATAAGGAATGGATCTCTATAGAAACACTGGACAAGATCAAAGAAAGGAAGAACAAGAAGGCAGCAATAAACAACAGCCGAACACGAGCAGAGAAAGTCCAAGCACAAGCTGAATACATAGAAGCAAACAAACAAGTGAAGAGGAGCATTAGAGCCGACAAGAAGAAATACGTGGAAGAACTAGCAACGACGGCAGAAAAAGCTGCTAGAGAAGGAAATATGAAACAGCTTCACGATACAACGAAGAAACTAGCAGGGAAATACAGTAAACCAGAGAGGCCGGTCAAAGACAAAGAAGGCAAGCCAATCACCGAAATTCAACAACAGCGTAACAGATGGGTAGAATACTTCGAGGAACTCCTGAATAGGCCGGCTCCAATGAATCCACCGGACATCGAAGCAGCACACACAGATCGTCCTATAGATTTTTTTTTTTTTTTTTTTTTTTGTGTTGGAATGGCCGTCAGACAAATCAAGAACGGGAAAGCAGCAGGACCCGACAACATACCAGCTGAAGCACTGAAATCAGACATCGAAGCAACCACAAGCATGCTTACCTTCTATTCAAAAAGATTTGGGAGGAGGAACAAGTGCCGATGGACTGGAAAGAAGGACACCTCGTCAAGATTCCAAAGAAAGGAGATCTGAGCAAATGTGAAAACTACAGAGGCATTACACTACTGTCAATACCAGGGAAAGTCTTCAACAGAGTGTTGCTGAACCGGATGAAGGATGCAGTAGACGCCCAACTTCGAGATCAACAAGCTGGATTCCGTAAGGATCGGTCGTGCACAGACCAAATTGCAACACTACGGATCATCGTCGAACAATCAGTTGAGTGGAACTCATCACTATACATCAACTTCATTGATTATGAAAAGGCATTCGACAGTGTAGATAGGAGGACATTATGGAAACTTCTTCGACACTACGGAGTTCCTGAGACGATTGTCAACATTATCCGGAACTCATACGACGGACTACAGTGCAAAGTAGTGCATGGAGGACAGCTGACAGATGCATTCCA